CCTTCGATCTCGACAAATCGTCCCACCACATCTATGTAACTTCGCCGATGAACTATTAGTCTGGTTGAGGCCTTGATATGGGCAAAGTCTCACGTCAAAACTCAAAACTTTGATTTTATGGAGAAGATGGGGTCCCATAGGCAAATTCTAGTAAAAAGTCGACATCTCAGCCAGATCTCAACTTGCGCCCGAACCAACTTAGGGTATATCACTCCTAGCTATGCTCTATCTAACCATCATATTCCCGACCGAAAAGCTTTTTGACACATCGGGTGGTTCCCTCGTAAGTCTAATCTTTGATGATATTTCAGTTTTTTGAAAAATTCTTCACGAAACATCGCTATGTAATTAGATATCAATTTTCAACTAAAAATAAATACATTTCATCCTCCCATAATTGATATAACTACAATCCGATATAATATCACAAAAATTACAAATCAATATATAAATTCAATATTAAATATGGACTTCCCTGAAATGGCTATGAAGATTACATTTACTAAACGTCCTCCACGTCATACAATATTTACGGTTGAAAATAATATTTCTTCTATAGGATTTAGTGAAGTTAAAATAATCGTTTCATGCAATTTAAGTCTCAACAGAATAACTTCCATAATTAAAGGTCTTCAAATAAGTTCTAAACCACACATGAAAGGAAAATGTCCAGATGCTCGATCTAAAGAAAACAAAGTAAGTAGTACCATCATTAACATACTGAATGCTCATAAAGAAAACTTCATCTTTTACTAACTGGAAGAAAAGTAAATCTTTGCAAACTGGATGTCTGAATTCAAGAATTTCACAAAAAGATATATAATTCAATAGATACATCATATTACTGTTATTAACAATATCAGTAGCAATATCAACGTTCCATATTGGTATTGTTGCTTGTTTAGACAGAAATTATTACAAGCGGTACACCCACAACAACAACTACATCTAGAACCAAACGAACAACATTAATATACATGAAGAAGCGATACACGAAAAGAAAAACAACATCAATAACATCTACACTACTTAAAATAGCCACAATAACTTCAACGTCATCATCTACCGCCGGAACAACAAGTTCTTCATCAACATCAATATTACAAAAATCTAGAACAACAACAACCAAAGTTACATAAATTACAACTTCATTTTTCATATCCTATCAACTACACTCTCAACAATGATAACCAGAACACTGATCAAAACTACCAGTATGCCAACAAAGAAATTATTTACAACACTTGATACATCAACTATAATTAGGCCTCAATTATTCATTTCAACATTCACAAACGTCATAATTGAGCTAGCTCTATGAATAACTGAATTGACTGCATCTAATATTATAATACCAATAATAATGCCAGAAATATCTTCAAAACTAATTGAGCAAACATTCTATAGTATAACAACTACTCCGTTACTAATGATGACCATTACCGAGTTGATTAAAACTCAAAAGATGGCATCTTCAAAAACAAATGTTGAAACAAAAAGCACAACAGAAGCAATACTATTCGCTATGATCACAAAAGAAGAATTAACAAGAATGCCAAGTTCAACACGTTTGCTTTTTACAATTAAAAATTTATTAGTCTCTTTGTTTACATCGACTAAAACATAAAGTATTTCACGAGATTTTTCGATATATTTTGTTCATTTTACTATTGGTAATTATATCGACTATCATCATAACACTGAGTGCTTGTTTTCTGTATTATCATCAGAAACGATGACAATTATTTGACGAATATTCAATTCCTCTTGTCGATACAACCAATAGAAATAGATCAAACATATTTTCATCATCATCAAGACAATACAACGAGACGACTTGCTTAAAAAAAGTAAACAAAAATATTGGGCACATACTTGATGATGACACATTTTAGCGAACTTTTTTCGAAAACTTTTTACTTGATCTAATAGACAGATACAAGTCAAGTCTTTAGTTATTTTCTTTAAAAATTTTCTATCTCTGGTGTGAAGAAATCGTCATGAATGACTGGTTACGTTATTCAACGTGCACCGACAAGGTACTGTGTGCAGACTTCAGTAGTACTAGGCATGGAGTGATCCTGAACATGTTGATAACGTCTATTTGTTTCGAATCACGTATCCAATAGAATCTTAACGAGATTATAACATACATGTACTCTTGTGGCTAGTATGCCGTTAGTTAGTGTGTATAGGGAGCTCAAGAAATTGAGCGGAAGAACTTCACGTTAGGCCGATGTTCTATTTATAGTTGTAGAGAAGATATCAGACTATTGAATGTACTGCTAAGCAGCATCCAATATCGCCAAATAGCTGAAAGGTAGTGGTATTGTTCCTTGATTCATTGAATGTTAATAACGCTAGTATGAATTACTTTGTAGTTATGCAAAACACATTTAATCGATGGAAAATCGCTCATAAAAGGTTCTCGAGGATTCATCTACTATTGATTCAAGCAAAATATTGTCACTATATACAATTCTCTCGAATAATTGACTAGGATTTCAATTCTATTATTATTATTATTATTTCCGAGGATAAACTACACTATTTCCTTTAGAAAATAGTCCTTCGATATCAATGACTAGCAACATTTGAACTCTTAATATCTATGCTATATCATTCTATCAAATCATTACAGTTCAATTAAAAGGAAAATTCAATTTAATTGTATACTCTTGAAAGACTTTAATAATAGAACATAAAAGAAATATTTTAACATTTTTTCAAATTAGTTCTAAATTGATTTAATTGTCTATGATAAGTATATCGTAGATTTTTTTCAAATGCGGTTATTGGTCCACCTAGTTTACGCATTGTTTCAATTGAATTTGGAATTGTTTCTTCTAATGTAGTATCACTTTTTATCAAACGTCTACATGGTTTAACTGAAACTGTTTTTAAATCAATATGTTGCTTTTCTCGTGCACGATTAGTTTTTGTTTTAATCGAATGTACTGTTGAACGACGCGTACTCGCATTTCGTACTAACGGTTTTTGTATTGTAGATGATGTCTCAGATGTTGATTGTTCATATAAACCACCAATAATATATGTTTCAGTAGGTGGTGGTGTTTGAGGATATGGTAATCGATATTGTTGATGATTGCGTCGACTTGAATGAGCACTACCACCAGCAGCTCGTTTTGATGAAGACATTGATAGTGGAGTTATACTTCGATGATCAGTTGCAGTTGCAAGAGTATTTTCACGAACTATAGTTGATTGTCGAAGTTGAACACTTAAAGAAGCTTGAGGTTTTGGACCAAAATTAAATTTGGATACTGCTTTTACTGGTCCATTACTCGTGATCTGAAAATAAGAATTTCATGTTTAAGCAGAATATATTAATATTTATATCGAAGATTTAAATAAACTATGTTATAATTTATATACCTTAGGTTGTAACAGAGCATGTTTCGTAGTATATTGTTGAGGTGACGAGGATGTATCAGCATAATTATAACGAATTGTCGGTGATTCTCTTGTTTGATGAAAAAAATCTGATGATCTTTGATATTCATCTGTCGGTGATGTTGGTCGTTGATTATATTCTTCATCAAGATATTTTGAATCATAGGAATTTTTTCCTGAAAATCTTGTCACAGATGGCATAATAGCTGCTCTTTGTATCACCTGAAGTTCATTAAGCAATAATTGATCTTCTAATTTAACAGCTTTCATATCCATTGGACTAATTAAAGCTCGTTTTCTTGGACTATGTTTACGTGTTTGTTTACGATTCATCATTATAAAATCAGTCCAATTACAATACATTGGTGAATAAGTTACTATACGATTCCAATGATCTTCACCAAATGGACATAATTGTACAGTTGATATAAAATCATTATGTTGATTTGAATATTTCGTCATTTACTGTTGAATATCTGTTCGAATAATAATCGTCTGTTTTAAAATGGCGTTGTTGCTGCGTCTGTAAAATTAACACTTCACTTTTTTTTAATGCTATACTACTTGGCTACAAACGAAAAAAAAACTGCTTTGACATTTTTGTCTTCTCTCTATTTTTCTCGACATGTACTCTTTTAATTCTTCTTACAGACAAACGAACATTTCATGAAGTAACAAATAATGTATCTATACATGTGAAACAGAAAGTAGAAAAATAATGAAGAATCAAAAAGAAAAATATTTTGTTCTTTTCTTCTTTGTTAACATTATTAGCTAGAATGTATGTTAGTATATATTGATCATGATAATGTTTTTTTTATATTATTGAAATAGCTAAAAATCAATTTTTATCGTTTGAAGAATTTCAGTGGTTTGTTTTATTCATTTATTGACATGTCTGTTTTCTTTGTAAACTTTATAAAAGGAAAAAGAATCAAAATCAAACGTAAAAAGAAAAAGAATATAAACATGACAGTACTTAACAAAGGAATACATTGTCATCGGCTAATGTTTAATGTAGAAACCTATGAAATTACCAATACAAATAATCATACTTTTGTCTCTTTAAACATCATATAACTTTTTAAGCATGTACATAATGGTTACTTGAAAAATTCTTCTTACAAAAAATAATATTAGGAATGAAAACTTGTAAGATATTCACCATTCATACAATTTAAAATTTATAGAGTTTCATTATGTTATTTATTGCTGATTAAACAATCGCTCTTATCTCTGCCGAGAGAATCAACTGAACTAATGAGCATCGTGTGAGCTCACTTAAGATCTATAAGGATGTCTTAGTGTGGCTAGCAAGAGTCTTAAAATAAGGGTTGCCGTCATGGATCTTTTGAAGCTGAGATATGATCGTTTTATAAAGTTTTCAACCCATTATTAGATATTGGATGCAAAATCTAGTAACGAAATTTCGATATGAGACTTTATGTACAGATAAGTCGAATGAACCTTAGAATATCCTAAAAGTTTCAATCGAAAAGAATGTTTTTTTGTCGAGGCAATAACTTTTCAAGTAAATTCGATTTTTTGATCATGTCTCGGACTAGAGATGAAGCGATAAGACTAATAGCGAAGCCGATGGGAGCATAGAAACCTACATCAATAGTCAGTGTATTAACACCAATAGCTTCACTAGTCATAAGGAGATATGAACAATCGGACAAAAATACGATCATCGTCATAGGTTTCTCATACGTTCACCAATTTTAACCATGATGCTTGAAAGTGCATCGCTATATGTGGTAAACGATTATTTTTTGGAAATTTCAAAGCACTCTTTTTGGCTGAAATTTGTGAGATAATCTATGGGTTACTCGATCGTTATGTGAACAAAATTTCACATTGAAATTTTGTTTTTTTATTTTTCGGTATGTATCTAAATTTGAATCAAAAATTCAGTAAAGCGGTCTAACTCAGCTTAAATCTAGTCTTATCAAGACCGTATTTTAGGTTCAATATGAACTCAAACGACGAATTATCAATTCGGAAGGTTTCATCATGAGTTATTATTCAGTAGATTATTTGAGTTCGTAGTTATGTTTAATTACGCATATTCAATTTGTTTAAAGACATTCGTTGAAAGTATTGCTCAAATAATGTTTGATTAAAATATTCAACATTTTCGTTATAGAACTCAATACAGTGATTAGCAACTATTTCGATTAACCAAATTCGGTTGAAAATGGCTGACTAAAGAAATATAGCGAATAGATGAAATTATAGTAGGGGACAAACTCTGAATATGTCACCCATAAATCGATTCAAATTCTTTGAATCAGAAGAACTGGAGTTGATCAATATTCATCAACTACAGTTTAGTACAGTAGTTTAGTTTAAAAAAAATCTGGGAAACATGAAAAGAACGAAGATTTATAATCATCAATACTATATCAATAATTTCCTAAAAGTACTTATTAATGGAATGAGAAGACAAAGGTAGCTATATAGGTTACGCTCTGATTATCAAAAATCATTATTACAGCATTCAGCTATGTATTTATAAAGATGTTCTTATTATACTGCATTAGAACGTATCATAATTATTTAATATCCACCTTATTCTGCGGATAAAGTGCAACATATTTTTCAAGTATTCAATCTAATTGATAAACTTCATCAATCAAACAGTCCTCAAACCACTACATGGCGTGGCATTCGCCACGATGATGAATTTTTTAATCAAAAGATATTTGAAAAATACTTTTAACAAATTGATTCTGCATGATTAAACATGGTTTTGTAGCTCAAATACTTGTTCGAGCAAAAACTTGATTAACTCTTTTCTGTAGAATTTTATGTGATTATTACGTTTTATAAGGCAAGCTCCCTCCAACTGTTTAATCGCCTTTCTATCAAGACTATGTGCATTATTTAGAATCAAACAAGCTCGTGCTATCAGCTTATTGATATGGAGATATGACATTTTTATTGTATTTTTTAAATGAATGCCGTCATCGAGAAAATCTGATTTTCGAACTTCGATTTGAAATTTTGCATGGAGACAAGCCTTAATATAAATAGGTTTTTGTAGATGTTTCAGATCTCTTCGTCGTTCCTATTCGAAGAAACAATTATGATAATAGCGCATGTTTTTCATCGCTCATATAAACCAGAAGATTTTATGTTTTTATTTCATGATGGAAGAAAATCAAAAGACCTAAACCATTCACAATAAATTACTCTTCTTAAGGCCTATCTCTATGCAAAGTTTCAAGTCGAAAGTCAGTTTTTCTAGATCAAGTCATCTATTTTAAAAAATGCTGTAAAACTGTAGTATCTCCGAAGCAGTAAACTAAGAGCACAAACTCTTTTCACAATATTCATACCTCATTTGGGTTTACATAATGCACGTTATCTCGACTTAAAAGTGATCAAATAGTCGGATGACTTCCCTTGTTAGTCTTAAGATGTTATTTATTTTTCTTGTCTTTCGAATGATATACGTACAAAAAAAACAAGTAAATACCCTCCCATACACACAGAACTACAAAACACATATTACAATTGATAAACACCGACAGTAAAAATATAAGCAGATAAATAATAACAAAAAGAACACAGATCACTGTACGAGATTATTGTTTACTAGATGTATCATCTTATGATTGATGTGCTGAATTGCTTCGGTTACCTATTTTAAGAAGAAACGGTGCCGGTTGTTGCTGTTCTACAGCTGATTTTGGTTTTCGTTGGTCATATTCATTTGTATTGGATTCTGTTCGTTGTGTTGTAATATCATTAACATTTGTTATTGATGTTGCCATTGATTTACGTAATTCTCTTGTTTTATGTTTATAAAAATATAAATCTTTTTCAAGTTGTTTTATTTGATTTGATGATTCTTGTAACTTTTCAAGTAATAATTGTTTTTCTTCTTCATGTAGTTGTTGAATAGATGTTAAACGACGATCATGATCAAGTGATAAAGATTGAATACGTGATTGTAAATCATTAATTATTTCAGTTTGTTCAAGAAGTTGAGACTAAATATATGAAAAAGATAGTATTAATGAGAAATAAGAAAAGAAAAAAAAATCTTTTTTGTTTCGTACTTTAATTTCTTCATAATCACGTCGGTTTTTATTATCTTCTTCTTTGAGATTAATGACTTTTTCAAATAATGTACGACATAGTTCTCTCGATTCATTTTCATTTAATTGACCAATTTTGAATAGTGGAGAATCAGAACCCTAGAAATAACAGAAAATAAACCCAATTTTTTTCACATTATTCAAATTTTTTAAAGTGCAAGTGCAAAATAATTTTCATGAATTTCGATCTTCTTTCTTGAACATTTTACTTTTAAATTCGAATTCTAATGAATTGATGATACTCCTAGATGAAAAAAATCTATGAACACAAAACTTTTCATATTGTTTTAGACACATGTACCTCTCATGTTTTTTCTTCTAGATTTTCAGTTTACAAAAAAAAAACTTGGGCTTTTAAGCAGAAAATATGATTGTCGAAATGTACAATGATGTATTCATGTTGCACGTTTGTTCGTACTACCGGTGGATGATTATCAGGTCAGTTAAAAAGCATGCCACGGCTTTTTTTAAATAAATTCTTACTCGTACAAGATAGAAACTTGCAGCTACTCTAATGACCTTCCTTGTGGACACGACCTTAACAATAAGAATGGTTGGTTTCAAATTGGTATCAAAATCAATGATTCTATTTAAAAAAAAGAAATAAAGATTTGATTGCAATTCGAAAATAGCCGACTTTGCAAGTGTTTAACTATATTTCATCCCCTGAAAAGATTTATTTTTCAAAAAAAAAAACTAAACTAATAAATAGGTTTCCAGATTTATACAAATAAGATAACAACATAAGAATGCAAAAATCAAATTAATAAAAAATTCAATTTTGATGCCATTCAAGACGAATGGGTCACTTATGACCAATTCTGCACCTTCACACTGAAAGGACTTCGACAAAATTGAATCATATCAGCGTTCTAATCAGCATCTGTATACACTATTTCTGTGGTTCTCTAAATACCACCTCTACTGGATTAGTGTTCCGGGGGTAACGGGTAAAGTACTGTATGAGTACAGCTTGTCGTACTCGTACCTGGGTACGGGTACCCAATCGACAGATTACAGTACTCTAGTAAAGGGTTAATATATAATTTTCAACTAGCTATGTTAAATCGACAAATGTTTTGCTTAGTTTTGTCGTGTTGTATGCCTGATTTCCTTGCTTTCTTATAAAGGTAATCTTCTACTTCCATTGAATTATCATCATATGCTTTGTATCTTAAAAAGAAAAGAATTAACAGGTCAGTTCGACGAAAGCTATATCTGTTTTAATTTTTTTTTGTGTCTGATGAATACACATAAATACTTAATGATACACTCGAAAAGTTAGTCGAATGCTTTGAGCTTCATTTTTTTTTCGAAGCGTTTTATTAGCTCTTGACAATCATTTGTCGTAGACTTATACCTGACTAGCTCGAATAGATTGTTGAACATCACGTTCTCGTTTTGAAATAATATTATTTTGATAATCAATAGCTAAATCAATTGCTTCAATCGCTTCATCAATTTCAATTAAACGTCTTTCATCTGTTGGTGACAAAATACCATTTTGTTCTTCTAATCGTTCAGTAAATAAACGCTTTTGTTGAAGTAATTGTTCACGTATGATTTGATGATTTGATTGTTGTTTATCATTATTTTTTAAACTCTACATAAATAAAATGCATTAAAAAAAGAAAACAAAACATTTAAATAAATTATTAGAACCTTATCTAAAATTTGACTTGAACGTATTTTTTTTGCTTCAAGTTCTGTTTTTTCATTAAGTAATAGTTCTTTTTTTTGAATAAGTTCTTCACGTTTTTGTATATCATCTCTTAATGTTTCTAATTCTTTTCGTTCGGATATTAATTTTTCCATTTCCATTTCAAAATTTGTTGTTGTTGTTCCATCATTTGAAGCACCACGTAATTTTCGCTGTGCAGCAACAAGACCTTCAGTTTTTAATTTTAAAATTTTTTGTTGTTGTTCATTTTGAATTGTTAATTCTTGTATACGTTGTTGTTCACGTACAAGTTCTTGTTCAATTTTATTTTTTAATTCAGTTTCTTCACGTATACGTTTTTGAGCTGTTTCATGCTGTTGTTTCATACGAAAGAGAGCTGCTTGAAGATCTGCAATTCTAAAAACAATTTATACAAGGAGAATTTGTGTACAAAATCTTAGTAAAAGATGAAATAATCACAGTTAAGAACATGATTGAGATCTATAAAAAGTAATTGATTGGTCGGTTAAATAGTTCTATTTGAAAAATCTCAAATATTATAGAATTGCTTGTATTAAATGGGAAAACGAAAAATAGTTGAGAGTTTCTTAATGAAGGAATTACAGCTTGAATTTAGATAGTAAATTGCAAATCACTACAAAGGAACATATGTTTTTCTGATAGACACAGTATGTGAACTAGGATTTCGTTTCAAAATTAAAGTTGTGAGATCCACAGATTTTATGGAGTCATATCAAAATTAAATTTGATAGAAAAATTGGAACTAAGAAAAAAAATCTAGGCCGAGGCCAAAACCAAAACAACTTGGTTTCGTACATCCCTATTTATGACTCTAATTAGACAAATCAGATTAGTACTGTGAGCCCCATAGTAAGGTGTGGACGCATGAGTATGGAAATAGAAATGGGATTGTTTGTGTTAAAGAATTTCCATACAAGTACCCACACCCATAAGGACCAAACTATGTCGATAGCATTAATCAATCTCTATTCGTCTGATTGATAAAAATTAAGAGAGATTTTGAAAATGATGAATATATTATTTCTCGATGAATGTAATTACCTTTTTTCACTGTTGCCTGTGAGTTTAATCATGAGTTCTCGATATTGTTTTTCTTTTTGTTGAAGTGATTCAAGATGAGCTTTAGCCATTTCACATTTTTTTCGATATTCACTAAATAGAAAATAAAACAATCTCTTATAAAATTTAATAGAATATTTTCTTTTTTTATGCATACGTTTCAGATTTTGATTTTTCATTTACGTTTTTACTTGCTACTTGTTGCATTGTTTTTTGTAAATCTTGATATTCATGTTTAGCTTTTTCCATTTCCTAAATAAATATTTGTACGAAATAATATTATTTTTCAAAAATATCTACTTTTTCCAGCATTTTAATATGTTTTTCATATTGTTCATTTGTTTCTTTAACATTGTTAGTTGATGCATAAACACTTTTAATTAATTGTTCTTTAAGTCTAATCATAATTGAAATATACAAAAAAAGTTGTATGATAAGAAAAACTAAATTCAGATACATACTGAATGTTAATACTAAGATCTTGTGCTTTACTTTCAGCTTCTTTTACTTTACGTGTTGCTTCATCAATTAATTTTTGTTTATTCATGGTAGATTGAGCCAACGATTGAATTGTTTCATCTCGTTGTAAAATACTTGGTATTACTCGATTTTTACGAACACGATATGTACCATGTCGAATAAATTTTCTAGAAAAGAAAAATAGAATATCTTTCCATTTAGTTTAACATTTTAATTCGTTGAAGACGATAGATAAAAAATGTTCATACAGAGAGAATCATTTCGTTAAAGCCTTTCACAATTCGATTACCTATAATATATGTAACTATGTTTTTCCGTTGAATGCAAGGTACATAATCATGACTTTACTTAAGTTATGAGAAATATATATACAACTTCATCTGATTCGCTTTTTCGATTCTAAATCAATTTTTAGATATAAATATTCAATTGTCATACTTTTTCTAAACTGCCTTTGTCTTACATGAAATTTATCAATACTAATGCTTTCAAAAAGTTACGCTAGGCAATGAAAACAAGATGTTAACTGAAATGTGTCGTCATCGATGACAAATAATTAACTCACACTTTGTTTAAAACTTCAATCTACTTCATTGTTGATTTTCTGCATAGAACTCTATCAAAAATATTAAAATCAAAACTAACTTTTCTTCTGTTAATGTATCATCACTATTTTTTAAATCAAGTTCTTCAATTTCTTCTAATGAATGTGCTAAAGCCAATGATCGTCCATGAAATCTTTCTACAACGTATTCCATATCAAATGCAGCTGGACTAGAATGAATATTTCGTGGTTGTATTGATTGATCCTATAAAATATAACAAAAAAAAACTGGGGTTTCTGTGCTATGAAACAAGTCAAATCTTTCTTTTGATATAATTTAATAAGAAACGAATATTTACTTTTCGTTGTATACCACCAAAGTGAGGTGCTGATTTTATCCGATCATATAAGGCGTTTTTTGCTGTTGATTGATTTATTTGATAAGAATTTGTTGAATGACGTTGATCCTATGTCAAATAAAAAAGACATATTCGGAAATAAAAATTTTAAAAAAACTAACGAACAAACCTGTTGTTCAGTTTGTTGTTTTCGATGATAATTTGCTTCATCCAATGTCATACGTATTCTATTTAATTCATCTTCCTTAAAATAAAAACAAAATCATAAATTTATTTTCCAGTATTTTGAAAATGTTTTACTTTAGCTTTAAGTTCTTCTTGTAATTTTTCAAGCATCATTTCCCGATTAATACGCATTTGAGATTCTGACTGTAATTCATCTCGAGTCTAAAACAATTAAAAATCATCTCGTTTTGTTTTCGTTTATGTATTTTTAACATACTGTATGTAAAGCAGTTTCTAAATTTGTTACTCGACATGTATAAATATCATTGTAAAAACCTTCGATATTTTCCTTCAAAAAAATAATTAAAATCAAAAATTTTATCTTTCTTTTTTCTTTTTTGTTTATTATCTCTTACATCAGTTACAGCTTCCATCCATGTTTGTATCCATTGTTTTTGTTCATCATTTAATTCATTACATTCATTTAATTGTTGAAAACATGTATAAGCTGTTTGAATTAAACGACGTGAATGATCATTACTACTAGGTGTTATACTAGAAAAAAAAATGTTTATTATAACAACAAAAAATAAGTAATAGAAAATTATTTACTTCGAACGTCGTGTATTAACTGATTGCCCATTACGAGAAAACATGGTACGTTGTCGTTCTAATTCTTCACGTAAATACTACAAGAATCAAGGTATTTGATTATTTCAAAATGTTTTTGATAAACTGATTTCCGATTCATAGAGAAAAGCTGTTAACACAATTCTTGTGGGATTAAAATATGATACACGATGCAGTTACTGTTGCTAATCACAGAAAGGTCGTTCTACTTTGGGATACATTTCTTCAGCATCTTCTTATTGCATCCTTCAGAAATGTAACAAGTAAGTTGTTCATATATTATAACCAGACGATATTGGCACACAATCTTAGATGATTCATTTCTAACGTGCCTGTCATGTGTGTGGAAGGGGGAGTCCAAATATATACCTCTATACTACCACAATCCTTCTAAGTCGTGCTTCACGAAACTGAAACTTTCAAAACAGAGAGATCTTGATGGGTACCGTCAAAATTGCTCGAGATAAGAAATTCATGGTTGCTGTCTTCAAAGAGATATATGAGCGGCAAGAAGCAATAATTTTGTTAGTCACTAGAAACACTTTCGCATTTTAACTTCGTTTTTTTTTCATCGCTTTCTCTTCGAATTTAAATGCCAAAGCATGGAGAGCATCCTAAAAAAACGCATAGCTTTTTTTCGTACCGTTTTTTTTTTTCATTTTAAGTTTTGGCAAAAAAAATCAGTGAGACAATATTTACATAAGAAGGAGACATCGAAAACACTAGCTAGTATTTATAGAAAATATTTCAGCTTGATAGGATGAATTATGGTTCAGAAATGAAGCGATTCTGCAACGATTTCACATAAAAGCTAGGTGTCTAGAAGCTTCCGATAGAAGGAAAAATCAAAACATGTTCGATAGATAGAGAATATTTAAAAGTTTCGATTTGGAAACGACGACTTTTAGCTGTAGCTTTTGTTTCTATAACTTCATCCCGAAGAAACTTTTCTTTCGATAATCATATCTTTATGCAGTTAGAAGATCAGTTGTTTTACAGTTGAAACTATTGCATTTGAATCATGTTGTGTAAGATAATCTTCAAGGAAACAATATGTTCCTAAGACAGAGAACAAGTAATCTTCGGTGAAGGGATAACTGAACAAAACAAGTTAGTTTTTTAAATTGTCGAAAGCTTTGTTCACAAATAGCAAAATATCCGTATGAAACTAAGAACTTACGGTGATTTCGCTTTGCATTTCAATAAAACGTTGTGCATTAGGATCAACATTTTTAATAGGTTTATTACGGATTTGACTTGCCTAAATAATAAAAAAAAATAACATATGATTAATGTAACTTTTTTTTCCTACTCGATGAGCATATTTAAGTGCATTAAGAGATTCATCTAGATCAACAATACAGGGACTAACACCTAAAAAATAAACAAATAATTGAAAAAAATATATTCCATTTGAATGGAAATTTACATGTTATCATCAATGTTTTAGCATTTCCACCAAGTGAATCTTTAAGTAAACGAGTGATTTTTGAATCACGATAAGGAATATGACCACCTGCACGTTTTTTTGGATCAGATAATGCACTAACAACATTGCCCAAAGCCAATAAACCAGAATTAATACGAATGGATTCTTGAAAACGTTCACCTGTATTATGTGTACGTGCTACACGTTCTGAACCAGCCAAATCAACAAAATGAAGTTTAGCAGATAGATAACTTTCTAAACAAAAAAAAAAAATGAAAGTTTCAAATCGACATTTTAAAAAATTTACCATCAAATGTTGATTTTAATGGTTGCATCATACCATCATAAGATGCTTGTACAATTGTTGAATTCGAATTTTTATCACGAAGATGTTGCTCTATATAAATAAAATTCGCAATTTATCTATTCGGTCATTACATAGAATGGCATCAAAATCGTACTATTAGCGCCAGAAATCAAGGCACTCAAATGTTTTTGGAATAAATCATACAAAATACAAGATAATGGCATACGATTTTCCGCAATCGTTAATTAAAGCTCGAAGACATCTTTTCATAAGCAAAGCTTCTGTTCAGAAATATTTCGAAGACCGATTTTTAAGAAGTTTTTCATTCATAGAATTATAAATAAGTTTTTTAAAGCATTGATGGAAATAACTAAGTTTCATTTTGCTGACATACTATAAAGTTTTGTATAGTTTCTGTATCTGTTTTTGACGTCTAGCATAATCATAAGACTCATTATTATTGATAATCTATCGTCTCAAGGCATTGAAGAATATATATCTACGAAGGAAAGTCAATAGATTTATTTATGTCATCTTTGAGAAATACAATGTGGTTTATCAAAGATCCGCTGAAAAACGTTTTACTTATGAAAATATGCCTTAAAGTTTTTGTCTATCAATCGATGAAAACCACATGCCATTAACTTGTATTTCATGTAAGTTATTCGAAAAACATTTGAGTACCTTGGACTTCTAGTGTCGATTGTATTACATACCGATATATAGAGTAAAAATTGCATGTGATCTAGATGATTCATCATTCATTTGTGTTGCACCTGTATGTCGAACAGCTGAACCTTTTTTTAATAAATTAACAACATCATCAATTGAATGACATTTATGTTCACTGGCTCCAATAACAACTAAAAATATTAATCATAGAATACTATGAAAAACAAAAATAATCGTTAAATGTTTTTTTCTTACTAGTATTTCCAACAGCATCATCTCGAACATCCAAAACTTTATCATTAACATCAAGTAAGTCAATAATATCATCTTTATAAATTTCTAAATATGATGCTGAAATACTAATACGACAATCTTTTCGATTCTAAATATACATTCAATTAATTTTCTAATCATTAAATAATTTCTACAAACTTGAAGTGTATCAAATATTATTTGAACAGCACGTGGTATAATTCCATATTCTTTTTCTCCAATTGATACAATATTTCCACCTGTCATAGTAAAAGTTTTTCCTGAACCCTAATCAGAACAAGAAAAAACAAACAAACAAATTAATAGAGAATAAAAAAACACTCATAAACATTCACATACAGTTTGACCATAGGCAAATATTGTTACATTATATCCATCAAAAACATTACTAAGCATCGGTTCAACACATGTTTGAAATAAGTCATCCTATAGATTAGCAAGTTAAAAATTTCATCTATTTAATTTATGAAAGTTAAAATAAAACAATTGCTTTATTACCTGTTGAGTTTTTGGTCCAAAAACAAAATCATATTTAAAAGTTCTTCGATCACCAATAACAATTTGATTTGTTTGAGGATGAATTGCAACACAACTTTTTTGTTCGTGATTTTTTTCTCGTTGTAAAAATGGTCGAACCTATTTAATTAAAAGAAAAATAAAAGACTTATTTTCAAATAGATTCGTATTATTTACATACACGAACGGCTACTTTAACACGAAATTCTGATTCATTAGTAACCATGATTATTACTATCTAAAATGATTTCAAAAAAAGAACACAAACAAACAAACAAAAAATGAAAAAAATTATTCATCTATTGTCCATTCTCATATTTTTGTAATTTTTCTTTTAATATTTCATTTTCTCGTACTAATTCATCAGTTTTTTCACGCATAATCATAAGTTCATTTTTTAATGTTTCAACTTCAGCTGAATCAGGACCACTTGCTCCCATAAAACGACGTACAAATTCGGTTGCATTATTAGGCTTTTCAGCTTCTTCATAAAGTGCAACTAAAGCTCCTAGAAAAATATCAAAAAAAAAATAATTTAAGAAAGAATAACGAGCACTTCTTCAAATCAACGATCCTCGTTTGCTGTGCTCTGCTAATTATTATATGGATTATTTCAGGCAAAATGGAACATTAGACTGATTTTATTTAAAAACAACAAGTACTGCTGTATTAGTATTGTTGTCAGTGTGTAGGTCATACAATTATCGATCTATAGACATCATAATCTATGATCGACCGAGCATTTGTCTAAATATAGCAATACTTTTTAAATTACTCCATATACACTGCTAGAAAATTTTAAAATTTAAACATTCCTCAGTGATAAAGTTTCGAACATTGCAAGATCAATCCTCATACAATATTTATGAACGTATGATGACAATTGCAACTGAACAAACATTAGACACTTTTAGTATTTCAAATGCATGGTACATGGCATTTGACATGATCAATAACAAATGACTAAAATCGTTTTCAAAACGAATATCACATTCAATAGAACCTAAAAACCTATATATAGTTCAAAAACTATAATGAGTAGTAGAGCATTATCACTAGAAGTTATCACCATGCACTTGTAAATATTGAACGAAAATTCCTCATCAAAAACAACAAATTTTGCTCAAATTTTTTAGTTTTCTATCAATATACTTGAGGTGATCTATAACGTATTGCTATAATTAGGCATAAGTACTTAACCGATCAGAGCTTATTATATGTATAGATGAAGGATTGTATGGACTATACAGAAGCAAAAATACTAATGCAGAAGTACTTCTTGCTGTTTCTAAATAAAACCAATCTCGAAAGTTTTTAAACGATCCCTGTAGGTAAAAAATATTGTTTTTTTCAGCTGACTATTAATTAAAATGTCCGTAGCTATGATGAAATTTTCAGCAAGAGCAAGTCGAAAAAAACCTTTCTCTTAACAATCGGTTTCCTAGACATTTTGAAGAAGGATGTAGGCTGTTTGGCATAGGTTTCGAACTTCTCATTCGGTTAAAAGAACATTTTTTGTTTGTATATTCGTACTCCATCACGTCGTTAGCGAAATTTTTTTTTTACTGCTAATTCCTCTGAACAAAAGTTTCTAGCGGTGATTTTGAGAGGAACTTAACATACATGTAACATATAAAAATTAACTCTAGAAAAATTCATTATCTCGAGATACATGTGTTTTAGTTTTGTGAAGTTACGTCGCCTAACGGATAAATTGACCTATATAAGATATTATTGATCGGTCGAAGAATTTCAAAACCAAAGAACATAAGAAAACGAACGTGTGATCGCATCGACAACACCACCCTTTTCAAGATATCGACGAAATTCTTCTCGTTTGGATTCATTTGGACGATAATTTGATGTCATTATTCGATTTATTGTTTGTTAAAAAATAAAAATAAAACAGGAAAAACTTCACTACGATTTATAGACATTGAGTTTATTCGTTGCTAAGCAACAACTTTACCAATGAATGATTATCACACTAATGCATTTTGTTTATAATTTAATATAATTATATCATAAAAGACGGAAAAAAGACTTATTATTATTTTTAAAACAGATAATTATACATGAATTAATAAATAAAGAAAAGGTTTGAGTTCTTTACAAATGAAATCATTCCATAATTTACCAAACAGATCTAAATGTTCCTGTTTATATCTATATTCATTTCAGCTAAATATTTGATAATTTAAGGTTCTTGTTTTTTTTTTATTTGTGTATTTTAGATCGATTATCATCATGCGTCCAATCAAAGCACGTGAACAACTTGCTATACCTGATGATGGTATTTGAATTTATTTATTTATTGAGATTTTTTATATAAAATTCTTCTTCTTTTCTTTTGTAATTAGTTAAAGTTAGTGTTAAAAGTCGTGTTGTTCAAGTAACTGGTGCTCGAGGTAAACTCGTACGAAGTTTTCGTCATGCACGCGTTGATATTTCAATGCCAAAAAAAAATTTACTTGTTGTTGAAAAATGGTTCGGAACAAATAAAGAAAATGCTGTTGTTCGTACTATTTGTTCACATATTAACAATATGATCAAAGGTGTTACAAAGGTAAGCTTTACAATCATAAGTAGTGTACGTTTTTTTTTCTACTTTATACACAACTTTCACTCTCATGCGATACTGTGCGTATGTGTATGAATCACACCAATAGGTGTAGTGGTTGTGTTTAAAGCAAGAAAAATATCCAATACTGTGACAGGAAGTAAATGACAATTATCATTTATGCTAATCTGATAGATACTTTTATCTGTCACGATATGTGAATGAAGAGAGTGCAGCTTGTTTGCTTAGAATTTATGTAAAATTTCGTTATTTTGATTGAACCTCTCGTCAAGATTAAAAGGCTATGAGTTTTTCGAAAATTCAGCAGACTTTTGTTTTAGATTTTAGCATGTAGGAATCGATTTTTGAGTAAATAATTGTTCTTTCAAATTAAAATTACTATTTCCAGTCAAAAGGTATGGCTTTCCGACAAAATTTTTCGAAATATTCTTGATTTTCTAAGTAAATGTGAACGAATGTTTAAGCTGAAATAGAAACCTATCGAGCTTATTCTGGGATAATTACTTGATTTCCAGTTTGAATATAAATATACTAGCTTTAAATATAATAATTTACTTTTTCAAACATATTCAATAACGTTATATCGTGACTTTTATAAAAAGAAGAAATCTACGATGAAACTTTTCAAGTATGATTGATTTCTCAGAGTAAGAAATCAAATACATAATACCGAGAAATCAGTTACAGATTAGGATTTCTTGATCCCGAAAGTCTCAGATCATACTTTATACGAAAATCAAGACTTTCACAAAACAAGTTTTCCTGGACGAAACAACCGAATCCAGAAATTTTCGTTACCCTACTACCGGTGAATCAGCTATCGTTACTGTTGTATGTCTATTTTCGACTACTAAAAGATAACTGATTAGAGCGCAAAGCAGTTAGTTAAAATTAAAATTCTTTGCTATTTCTGGAAGTAAGTTCAGATGTTCTCTGTTGGACAAGATTGAACAACTATCAGTAAATTTTTTGAAAAAGCCCAAAACTTTGTCTATACAATACAAAATAGCAGCTTTGCCACAACCCTTAGTTTGTGTCTTGAAATCAATTTGATTTAACATTAGTATAGAACACTGAATTCTATACAAAATGAGATATTACAATATGCAAAATCTTATATATATATGTTTTCATAGAAATCTGCCGTGCAAGATAAAACTGAGCTATTAAAAATTATCTTAAATATTGAATTTGATAGGTTTCAATCGAAATACCAAATTGATCAAAATAGTATTCTATACAACTGTTATTTTGCAACAATATGACGATTGTTTGTTGAATCTTACCTCAGAAGAAAATTCTGAATACATATTCAGAAAGATCCAAAAAAGTATAATTGTAACTAACTGCTTCTGGCTCTAACCAGTTTTTTTAATTAACTGAAAAATGAGTAAATATTTCGTGCAAAGACCTTAGCACCCTAGATTATTATTTTCTTTTTTAAATATAACGCATTTTAATGGAAGCCAGAAACAGCTATAATATAAACGATTGAGATAAATATCATCATTATCAATCATTTTTTCTTTTCTATTTCTTTTTAGGGTTATTGCTACAAAATGCGTTCAGTTTATGCTCACTTTCCCATTAATACTGTTGTTACAGAGAATGGTCAAGCGGTTGAAATTCGTAATTTCTTAGGTGAAAAATTCGTTCGTCGTGTTAAAATGCAACCAGGTGTAAAAGTGTCAGCAAGTACAAAACAAAAAGATGAACTCATTTTGGAAGGCAATGACATCGAACTTGTGTCACGATCAGGTTTTAATTTTCATATGTTCTATTGATGATCTATTTTCACATTTATTTTTCTTATAGCTGCACTTATACAAATGTCAACAGCAGTTAAAAATAAAGATATTCGTAAATTTCTTGATGGTATTTATGTCAGCGAAAAAGTACCCGCTGATGAAGCATAAACAAAATGCGCACTTGTTTTAGTATCATTGAAAAAAAAAACCGTTTACATTATATTTTGCGCGTTTAACACAATAAAATAAAAAAAGAAAGAAATCGAACGAATGAAAAAGAAGAGAAAAGAAGAATAAAACTTAGTTATGTTTTTTTTCTTCTTCAGACATAGGCCCCAATCACACCAAAAATAGAGCTATTTAACTTTTGTTTTGAGTCAATGCTCGTTCACACCAAGTAAATAAATCGCCAATGAAAATGGAGGATCCGCCTCTTTCATGTAGACCATCTACATAAAAATAATTTTTAATACACTTAGAAATGTCGTTATCGTGTGCATATGATTTACATAGAAGTTAATGGATAATCTTATGGCTTGAATAAGGATTATCTTATATTTAACGACTTGAAGTATAAAATGTCATTTTAATATGTTCAAAACAGAAATAAACTATTTAAAAGTAAACAATAGTTGTAAGAATAATTTATTATTATAGAAAACAAAAGAAAAATCATAACAATTAATATATGTTCTTAAGAATATTAAATCCACGAAACGTACATTGAAATAAGGAAGAAAAGAAGAGTAAATAATAATTAAGCGGATTAATAAGGAAAAAACATGTAGTACAACAATAACAAAAAAAGAATAACATTTGAACTTTTAATAACCATTAATGATAATAACAAGAAATATATAAACTGTGTCACAAAAAAAAACTCTTACAATGGATTTTTTACAAAATAATCAGTTAGTGCTTGACGAATATCATTGCCATCTGTAGTTTGACTGTTACACGATGGTTTTTATAAATTACATGTGGTATATCCCAATCCAACCCGGAATCATCTTCAGAAATAATGCAAATATTATGCAAGATCGCAATGGCTTTGATAATTCTAACTGAATTATCTAATTCGTATTCCATTTTCCGATGAATGCATCTAAAACGATTCTTCATCATTCCAAAAGCACGTTCTACTGTACTTCTTGCCCTACTTAATCTATAATTAAACATACATTCTTTTCTAGACATATAGGGGCTCCAGAAATGATTCATACAGTAGTCATCTTTAACTTGCATCCAATGGTACGCAGGAAAAGATAATCATAGAGATGTGTAGTTTTCACTGTTGTATTCGTCATAGTATCTAGTTTATTTCAACAAAATTTGAGACCTACACCTTTCTAAGAAAGGTGTAGGTCTCAAATTTTGTTGAAATAAACTAGACACTATGACGAACACAACAGTGAAAACCACACATCTTTATGACTATCTTTTCTTGCATACCGTTGGATGCAAGTTAAAGATGACTACTGTATGAATAATTTCTGGAGCCACTATATTTGCTCTTTCGGGATATGGTTTAATAAGAGTTGAATGTAATGCAAATGCAGAATCTGCTATAAGATGAGCATATATTATCACATTATTTTCAATAAGATAATACTTTTTATATATTGAATTTTGAATTACATCATATAATGTCGATCTACTGTAAACGGAGCTATCATTGCTGCATCCAGGTGCTCCTATGTTAATTTATGTAAACATTAGATTACTATTCACAGCAGCTAACATAATCACCGAGTGGAATTTCTTGTAATTATAATAATCGGATTCAGCACCAACAGGTGGTTTTATTTGGATGTGCGTTCCATCCAGCGATCCTAAACATAATGGATAGTCAAATTTGGTTACAAATCCATTCATTGTTTTACGTATTTCAGCATCTGTACTTGGGAATTTAATTAATTTCGATAAAATTAAATCTATTAGTGTATTACAAAATTTATGTGCTATGAGATCACTAGTATTAATACCAATACCAAATAAGTTGCTGATTGTTCTTAATTCACTGCTTAAACCTTATGCATAAAGGGCACAAGCAATTCGTTTTTCTACAGGAATTGCAGCACGATAATTTGTATCATTTTTAAATACATGGGGACCAACTAGACGAACGAATTCACCAAAGGTGGAACGCTGTACACGAAAATTTTCCTTAAACTGCTTATCTGTCATTAAAGGAACAATTTCTGTCCACCACCGATCACTTCTTTTGTAACACCATATCAGACGATGATTGGTGATTAAGGTGCGTCCCGAAATTATAAACAGTGAAGTAATAAGGAAGTTTCGAAGAGTTAAATCTCGTCGATACTTTTGCATTAAACGTTGACATTCAAAATTTGTTTTGGAAATTTCGTTCTTCAATCTTTTTTTTTTAACAAATATAAATGTAAAAACTGCAGAATCGATTGGATTTCCATCTAGGAACAGAGTGAAATTATTAATCGTATAAAAATTGTTTAAATAGATTGATACTCAGTCTATGGATGTGACCAGCTTGACGATATTGTGAAACAAACTGATGGATAGTTAAATAAAAGTGCTATTTTAACATTTCATAGAATTTTATTTTAACATTAATAAATATTCATCAATAATCTTAATAAATATTACTCAACAAATATTTTACATGTGTTAGTCGCAACAATAAGGAAGACATACAAAAAACAAGACTGTCACAAATGATTATCAAAAAAAAAGAATTCATTTCAACAAGTACATAAGCACACAGAAGGTTTTCATCAAGAATATGTATCGAATAACACAAATGGTAATGTTAGAAAAACAAATTATCGATTGACTGTGATAGTGTTGATGAGAGTTTTAAAAACGTTTAGGAATTTTCGTTCATTTTCTGTACTCTCTTGTTGGAGTTGGGTTTGTCTTTCCAGAAGTTCAATAATCTTGACTTCGGAACGAGAAGCATTTTCATTACAAGATTCGATTTTCCCAATCAGATCTTGTATCAAATCCACTCTATTTAAAGAAAAAAGAAAAAGCACATTTATTTACCAAAACATGTTGACAGTTCTTTACTTTATTTCCGATATTCGTTTCTTTTTTTCCTGGAGCAGTTTTTTTTGGTTTAGATGAATTTGTAATAGGAGGAGTATTATGTTTTGAAAAAGCATCAACATTCGAAGAACTTGCTAAATGATTTGGATTAATATTAGTAAAACTATTTGTTTCTCCAGTATCTGCTAATGATGGAACTAAATCATCGGCCGGTTCTGATATTTGAGTAGAATTAAGGTCAATAGGAGGTATATTTTCAATATCTTGTAAAACTTGTTCATCTTCTGTGTTCATCGAGTCCGTTAACAAACTATCATCATTATACGGGCGCTCACCTAAAAAGAAAATAGAATACGTGGTAAATATAGAAGTGTCTCATTAATAAGGAGTTCGAAGAAGTTGTGTTTTATGTAGATGGAAACAAAGTTTTAAAAAGATCAATTCACATTAAAACGAAGAAAATTAACCTTACCTAAGATTTTGTCCACCAACTCGTAATACGGCCACGTTGGTGGACTACCTCCTGTCCGACCTAATTCCTTCTTTTTTCTCCGATATTCCGCAATTAAATTTCCAATTTTTGCTTTCACTTCAGAACCCGTAAGAGAACTAGGTTGTAAGATTTTATTAAGTTCATCGGCCATTGATTGATAAATAGAAGCGTTTCTCGATCCACCTGACATGAGTCTTAAATAATTTTCACTCCATATTGCAATAAACGTTTTTGTGTCTTCCTCACTCCAATTTTTACGTTTAACTAATTTTCCACCAAGAGAAAAGAAATTTGTCGATTCTACAATTTAAATCAATATACTGGTTTCTTCAAGCTTTTAGTTTTTATTTGATCGTTTTGTGTTCCGTTGCGTTTGTTCAGGACAAGCTAAATCACTTGTTTTTTTTTTATTTCGACACAGTTGTTGACTGTGGCATAAATGCACTATTAGATAAACCTAGAATTATAAAATTTTCGCTTCTAACGATTTCATTCTTTAAGGTTCAACTAAAAATTTTTTTTCTCTCAGAATTTATTTTCCGACTGAAAAGTTGCTTTCTTATTGAAAGAAGATTGAAATTCTTTTTACAAGAAGATCACAAAAGGATACTTAAGATCTTTGCACTTACGCATATTTGCTGTTGGAATAACTTCACCTAAGTATGATTTATTTATTGGTATACCAACTACAGATGGTGATGGATTTAAAATTGCTCCATGAATACGGTTATTAATTGATGAATTATTTGATTTTTGTGCTGTGACTTCATCATACAAATTAAATGTTGGAGGTGCTGAGATTATAAAAACGCGAGATGGTGCAACAGCAGTAACTGAAGGTGTAGTTTCGTTGACAAGTTGAAGTGAACAAGATTTTTGATGGTGAACCACCGGATGCATAGTTTCAAACAGAGGTCCAACCAGGCCACTAGGCCTGCCTGCCTGTCACAGGCACAGGCTGCATTTTTTAGGCCTGGCCTATCACCGGCAGGCCAGGCCGAACCCTCAGCCAGGCCAGGCAGGCCGCTTAAAAACACCAGGCCGCCTGGCCTGTCTATATTCTTTATAAATATAGTTTTTTTTTTCAATATACATTTTTTTTCAAGAAATTGAGGGTAATGCTAGCGATCGGGAGAAGTATAGAATAATGTTCTGCTTTCATGGTGATTGATTGAGGTGATGACTAATGTTCAGCTCAAATAGTAGAGTTCCTCTTCTTTATCTCTTCACTCTTCATGTTCTCATTTCTCTATATTTTTATTATTATTGATTGCTGTTAAAATCTTTCTTATCGATTATTGTTGAGATATTTATTATTGACTGTAAAAGTCTTTATTGTTTTTGTTAAACTTATGTGTTAGCATTTCAATTGTCTTTCTTCGTGAAATGGGTGATATTGATCTTTCATCTTCCGTCTCTATTGATGATCCTTCACCTCGTTCNATACTAATTACATATGTCTATTTTCTTTTTCGTTCTGTCCGTTTGTCCTGTCAATATACAAAAAAAAAGAGACATCAAAGGAAAAAGAATATATTCTCACACAGAGAAGAAATGGCAGGAAAGAAAAAAAAAGCGCTACGTTCAATGTAAAATAGTTTTTCATTCTTTTCTCAAAAACTAAGAGTTGTCCAGGAAAGGAGGTAGTATATTTGAAATCCTTATAAAATTCTGAATCGAATGATGTATGCTGTTTTCTTGTAAACCACCCCCAAGAAAATCGACTCGATTTGCTATGTATTCGAAATATGCAGACTGTTTTCTCTAGTTCTGCTAGCTTCTAAAATTTAAACAAGAAATCAAGAAACCGATTATACGACATTTTTTAATAGGAGATGGCAAAAACAAATCGATCGTATAAACTCTTCCTGTTTAGTACCGTTGAATTTATTTAAGATAAATCTCTCCTTATTTTGCATGATAGTAAGGACCTATTTGAAGAATCTAATCTGAAAGAAACCATAAAATGTTTTTCTATAATTGTTTTAGTAAAATTTTCTTGTCAATTTAGACTCTTAAGCGTCTTTATATCACATCACATAACAATCAGCAACCACCGATATATGTAGTACTTGGCTGTGGTGCACTTTCATCATTTACGGGTCAATTAGTTACGTATCCAATCGCTTTAATGCGTACACGTCGACAAGGTCAAATTGTACCATTACCAAATATGGATCAAAGTAAAGCTCATCCAATGATGCCAGCTAAACAAATGTTAAAAGAAATATGGCATAACGAAGGAGTGGTTGGCTTTTATCGTGGTCTTGTACCGAATATGTTAAAAGTTATTCCATCTGTTTCAATATCTTATGTAGTTTATGAAACTGTTATAAAAGCTATTTCGTGATAAGATCATCAATGAAAAGCATTTATGAGAATATACGATGGACAATTTATTTTCATGAATTTTTTAGTTTTACTTTTTCATTATAATATTTGAGTTCTCAATATACGAGCATTATTTTTTTATCTATTGTATTTGAACATTTGCTCATGTCTTTATAATTCTAAATATAGAAATTAGTATGACAAATCACATCATTTTCTATATATACTCAATAAGAAACAATTTATCTGTACCAAAAAAATATAACATGTTAAAGATATAACAAATTAGTAGATGGCACACAGACTAAACCCGTAATGTGAAGTCTATCATCAAACTGGACTCATCATTTATGAAATTATAAAAACTGTCGATTAAGTCGAAGTGTCAAAATAAGCAAAAAACATGTTTACGTATTCTACGAAGCAGAGGGATGAGTTTGATCTACGTTTCATTATATGCACCAAAAATTGGTCACTAGGAAACAAATCAGATTTTGTACTAATTGAAAATCAATAGATATTGCTTTAAAAAAAACATATAATGATAGCGATGCATGAAAACCTGATTTGGTCCATAGAAACTTTTCCCCATTTTTGTTACATCTTATGGTACTATTGAAGTTCATCCTGGCCATGTTGAGCTAATGAGCTCATTTTGATCAAGTGAGATCAGAAAAATTGATTTTAATTTTAATTTGTTCATGTCTTGATTATTTTGATGATCAAAACACATTTTGCTCAAAGGAAAAGTTTTTTCTATTTTTTTAAAGAAAATCGCTTGCGAATATTCTGTTAGACACTGTGTTGAAGAACAATCGTAGTGTTAATTTCTGCTAGTCTTTTATCGAAATAACAATGATGATAATAACTGATAGAAAAATATTATATAAGAGGAATAAAATGGACTTTATATCAATAAGCAATTCGAGCAGCGATTCTATTTATATTGATTTTGATAGTAGTGAAAGAGAGAGAGTACATGAATGACTATCTATATGAGAAAAAAACAGATGAATTGAAAAGAGACGTGTAACATGTTGTTAAAAAATCAAAATCTAATTTCAATTGGATATAGATGTGGATCCTATTTTCACAACATCATACTCATACCCATATTTCACAGACGAACGTTCGATCATCGAATTGAATCATTTCTTCTGTTTTAAAAACGAGTTTTGTTCTTATCACTTTATCTTATCGAATTTCATTGTCATGTTGAAATTCTTTGCTGAATTTCTCATGAAGAATCGAAGGGAATTTTTGTAAACTATTAAACAAAAGGGCTTTTTCCCCGAACCAATCGAATCATTATCGACATCGTGAAAAACATTTTCAACAATTTCTACACACCACAAGAAATTTTCTACTTAAATTGAGGTTTTCTTCTGATATTTTCGTTCTTCTCATCTGTTGACAAATGGCATATGTATCACAATATCTATTGGACAAAGCATATTAGGTTTTCTGGTTTACCTTTATAACAAACTTGTTGCTTATTGGTGGTGCGATTTGGTGGCGACATGCCAATCCGTGAGAAATATACTCTCCGACTGATTCATACTTTTCTTTCTTTCTTCCTTGGCAAGACTTAACTATGTAAATACAAAGAAATCCAAGCATACACACTAAGCATAATATGGCGATGAGTTGCATTGTACATGATCGCAAGTATTGTTCAATATTTCACAGCACTGTTAATCAGCTTCGTCGGGCGAACGAATTCGATGTTAATATTCTTAGACGGCTTCCAAAACGATGTTGTTCGTGCAATGGAAATAATGGTGAGGAAGGGCTGTTGAAGTATCTAGCGAGAAACTTGCTGGATCAATCTATGTTTCTAGTCAATAGCTCTTGTACCCTTTGCGAGTGACTCCATCATGTTTCGATTGCACTGAAGTTTATTCGGAAAAAAAATTATTCTTTCTAAACTCTTTGGTTTTTATTTTAGGCCTACCTTCGATTGATCTCAATTCATTTCGCACTGTGTGTCATGAGTTAGAGGTACCAGCATCAGTAAAGGTTTCTCCTCCGAAATCCTTTCACTTCGTCGTCCTTCCATTTATTGCAACACTCACTGAACAACAACGTAAAGCCCAATGCGGCCATTTTATAGGCAGAATGGGTCAACATATTCGTGTTCTAGAAACTCAATTCAATGTTCGCCTCAATATGGTCAATAGTTCATCCAGTAAAACTTTACATGACAGAGTCCAGGAATGGAAAAAGAAGAATCTGGGAAATGACAGTCATAGCGATGGTCTCTGGATAATGTTGTCAATCAAAGAAAACAAGTCAATGATTCGCTTGTCCAAGATGAGGACGAGAAACCAAAATAGACTTTTTCCTGGAAGAACGGAGAGACACCGCAAAACAGCTGCAGATCTAGCGTTCTTTCAAGCTTTAATCGCAAACCATACGGTCGAAGAAGCTCTGAAAAACAAATGGGATCAAACTGGTGTACGTGTTACTCAAACACGATCTCCAATCAAGCCGATTGAAGTAAACGAGGATGACCAATTGCTATTATCATCAATCGACGTAACCCATGATACTCGATGGCGCTCTACATGGCGAGGACGTTCTAATAAATTTCATACAAATAAGAAAGAATGTTCAACACAAGAGGAAGTTGCTCCACAGCCGTCAGTGCTACCGCTTCCATCTCCTCAAGTCGCTCAAAAAGCATCAAGAGTCAATCGACATCGAAAGAAATAGTGTAGTGTCATAAATACTTGATTTGTATTGTGTGCTCTTTTTAAATTTATTTGAATTCAATTGCAATTGAATACATGTATCTAATGACGGCACTAGTACATTTCGTCGCACGACACTTCGTCGCGATCACTTCGTCGCAGAGCAATTTTTTTTTTCGTTCTGTTCATCGCAGAACAATTTCTTTCGTTCTGTTCGTCGCACAACAATTTCTTTCGTTCTGTTAATCTCAATTGATTCTTTTTTAAATATAAACAAATAAAATAAAATAAATTAAAAATTCTAAAGGATGTGTACAATAAAAATAGACAATTGATTGTTCTAATGCATATGACTTTATTTGGGAAAACGGATCAATAAAAAATTTGAATACAATGTCATTCTGATGGAGCTCCAGCGAACGAAGAATAACTTAAAAAATATTGCGGCTAACATAACTCTCTAAATTTTTTGGATTTTTCTCTTCTTTTTTTGGTTTTTCTAGTTTGGTTTTCTTTTTTTGTACTCAATTTGTTCATCATTATCTTATGTATCATGCACAAAATAAAGATGAATTAAATTGATCAATTTCATGTCTTGAAAAACAATTAATTGAGAGGAACGCAACGAACAGAANTTCATTAGTTTATTATTTGGATTACTAACTCACATTACGGTTGAGTTCTAACATCTCCAACCTTTGCTTTATAGCTTATGTAGTCGCTTACGGCCATACCACGTTGAATACACCAGTTCTCGTCCGATCACTGAAGTTAAGCAACGTCGGGCTCGGTTAGTACTTGGATGGGTGACCGCCTGGGAATACCGAGTGTCGTAAGCTGTTTTTGTTTTTGTCAATCATAATCACAGAAAATAATCCACCTAAAATCTTTGTACTAACTTTATTCTATTGCGTAAGACATAAAAAAGAACCTTAAAAATCTTATTTTTCTTATAATTTCAATACTATGATTTATGTAGTTTGAACTATTAAACTTATTCATTCGATCTAATCCAATAAAATTTACAAATCTAAGATTTAAATGTTTTATTTCTTTTAAAAGTAATCACATACAGTTTATACGAATAATAATTAAAGTTATTATTCAATGGTTACATAAATATTATCAACAGTCGTGTTTGGTTCTCGAAATACAATGGTAAGTTGTAGTTCAACAGTGATTGAAGGACATGGAATGGTAGCAATAAATGTTGACGGTGATGTAAATGAAGCTATATTCATTGTTGATTCTATAAGAATAATATTATTATAATTCATTTTTATTTCTACGATTTAACTTACGTTCAAGACCAATCTGATTGTTGTTCGAATCAATAAAACGTACATTCATATAAGCAGGTGGATTAGATTTATCTGATACTTCTGCTGCTTTTTCATGCATTTCAAGATAAATTTTACTTCGTCCATGTTCAATCAATCGTTCGTAACGACGTAAATCAATATTTTGTTGTAATATTGCATTTATCTTTTTTGCTTGAAAAACACATTCAGTACTAAATTTATCTTGTTTAGTGAGAATATCTCCATTGGTATTCCAATTGGCTATTGTGCCAGGAACTTTCGAACATTCTGCATTACCATTATGAACTAAATTTTTATTTTTTCCTATTGATCCATCGGGTAGAATTGCTTGTGCAATGGATAGAACTGTATTTAATTGTCCTGGAGTAATCTTTGCGCCAATAAGAATAGCTCCAGTAAAGTCTACATTGTTTACATTGGCATTCTCAAAATTAGCACCACTCAAAAATGTCTTTCTAAATGATGCATTTGTAAGATTTGCCCATTGAAAAATACAACCTGGCATATTAGAATATGAAAAATTTGTTTGTACAGCTATTGCAGTATGAAAATTTGTTGATCGAGCTACTACAGCAACCATTTGAGCTTGAAAAAGATTTGCTGAATAAAAATCAGCTGACGAAATTTCAGACTCAGAAAAATTTGTTTTAATAGCAATGATATCTTGAAAATTTGTTGATGCAAGATTTGCATTATGCATATATGCTTGAGATAAATTTGCATTTCGAAATGAAGCACGATGAATTTTTGTAAATGAAAAATTACTTTGAGATACATTAGTATCAATAAAATTAGTAAGAGATAAATGAGCTCGATAAAAATTTGTTCGAATAATTTCCGACCAACGAAATGAAGTGCCAGTCATATTACACGCACTAAAATTAGCATCATTTAAATAGATCTGTTCCAATGAAGCATTGATTAAATTTGTCAATGGTAATGAAAGTTGAGTATAATTTAACCAACGACCGACTATAGAATTAAAAAAAAGAATGATAATGAATTTTTTAATCATGAATAAAAATTTTACTTTGACCAAATTCAGCATCCATATCATCTAAATCAAGATCTTTTAAATTAGCACCTTGTAAATCTAAAGGTGACATATTTGCATGTTTAACATAGAGAAATTTAAATTTGTATAAAAACTGAATCAATAATGATTTATGAAGAGAATCAAATCGACGTATTAATGAATGAACTTTCAATTCGAAATTCGCCACATTCAATGGTTGTTGGGTTGACATTGTTTCATACATAAAATCCGTTAACAATTTGTCATTTTCTTTATTCAGATCTTCTTTTCTACGTTGTTCATTGAATTGTTTTTCTTCATAAAATATTTGCAAACGTTTTTCTTCATTTTCAAATTGTTGTTTCGATTTTTGTATTGCAAATATCAAATCTTGTTCATGACGTTGTTGCTCAATTTCTCGATCTTCTGAACGATGTTTTTCAGTTAAGTTGTATTGACGTTCGAGACGTTGATTTTCAATAGATAACTGTTGTTCATAATGTTGTTGTTTAAACAATCGATCTTCTAAACGATGTTTTTCAATTAAAACTTCTTGACGTATTTGACGTTCATTTTCGATATACAAAATTTGTTCACGTTGTAGTCGTGCTATATTTTCATTCGAGTCACTTATCAGTTTAGCAATTTTTTCATTCGATTCACGTAAATCAACTTGATTTGATGTACGTGGTAAGAATACAAGAACGGCAAAAATAGCGCCAAGCATTAAAACAATAAGTAAACTGACCAGAATTTTCAAGACATCTAATAAACTAGATTTTGATGAAGCCAGTGCTGGTGGAGAAGGAGGAGGAGGAAGACCAGGAAAATGAGCAGGAGGCGGATATAGAACATTAGGCATAGTTAATTGAACTTGTGAAGGGTCAAAGAAAACTGGAGGAGCTGTTATCATTTTTTGTTTTTAATAGTAACTAAATGATTTTTATAGAAGTTTTTTTATTCATGTTTTTCTATGTCAATATTTTTTAATTAGTCCTGTTGAATCATGATATTTTATTAGATTCGAATTTCGATTAAAAAAACAAATGTATTATGTTTCTTGTATTTAGCAAATATATTCAATTGCTTGAATCTAGCATTTCTCTCATGAGATGTTCGAAATTTGACTCCCTATGGGTTTGCTGAGGTCAAAAAGATTTCATAAAGCTGAATACTGGATATTTAAGATATGTCTGTAAATATTTAATACTGTATTAATGAATGACGTTGAAATGAATTTTTTTTTCTATTGCAAAAGCAATATTGAATGACATTAAGAATCAATATGTGAAGATCTTCTATGTCAACCATTTCTTAGCATATCGTAAAAAATTTTTCAAGGTATAAATATTCCCATAGACTTTCTTGAAACTGCAAAAACCATAAATTAATCTTAAAGAATTTAATTCAGCCAACTCAAATAACAATTAATAAAATTCTTTCAAAGAGTTCTTTTTTTTTATATATGAATTGATATCTGAACCATAACAAACGCATTTCTATTTGGGATAAAACTAAACATTAGTCAATGGAACATGAATGAAATGTATAAGAATAATTTAAAATTCTATCCTTGGATGAAGTTAAAAATTCCTTAGCATTCATCGATAGAATAAGATGATAACACGAGACACTATTTTACAGAAAGATTCTGAACTTTCATCGATAACAAAACTCTGAAACAGATTCTGTGTTATTCTTATTTTCGAGAAAGTAACAATCTATTATTGTTTTTGTATTCATATTAGCGCAAAAAAAGCATGTTTGGATATTGTAATGCTTTAGCACGTACTAAGCAATTCTATTTATTCAGCCTTTTGCATATTCTATTAGTTTTTGTTTGTTAAACAATAATCATATACTATCTACATGGCCAATGCCAATCGTAACATCCTATACTATGTTGATTTTTTGCTCGGTATGATTCTTTGTAGTAAAGAATATAACTAGAAAGAAGAATCAACGTATGAAATGATATTAATATTGCTGATATAAAGCATACAGATTTTTTTCATTTTTCTCAAAAATATTTATGAATTAATATTCTATTATTTAGTTTGAATAAAATTTGTAATACTAAACGCATAAAACACTCATTTGATCTTATAAGTATAGACTCTAAGATCGTATTTTTCTTTTTCTTTTTAATATAATTTTTATTTATTCGATTGTCACGTTGAGTTATGCAAAGAAATACGTGATTGTTTTTAATGTGAATAAAATATCATGTAGAGATAATGATTTAATATTCATCATTAATTTTATGTTTTTACTCGTTCTTCTACGATTTTATATAATTATTATTGAATATTATCTTTTTTTTTATGAAATTTCAGAGAATGAATTAAATATTCTATTATCATACTCTCTAAATCATTAATATTATTTATAAAATAATTCAACAATTTATTTTTGTCTACAACAACATCAATTATTCATCGAAGGCCGTTTACTAGTCGATCTTAGACACCATTTATATGTGACGATAATTATCATACAATATAGTCTTCGATGGTAAGAATTTATGTTATGTTCAATTCTTGTCTATATACAATAGTTTGTCGATGAATTGAATGTTGTGATAGACATTAGTATTCATTGTTCATTGAATGAATAGTATGATGGCCTTTTTTTTTTCATTCTCATCTTGATTTTGTTCAGGTATCTGAAATCTTTAAAATGTCTAATGTATTTTTTCACCTTCTTTGAGGGAGAAAATAATGTATGTTTTCTATTGTTTAGCTTGCTAAAAATGAAATTAAAGTGCTTCTTATACAATGATCATGTCTGTTTAGTATACATGTTCTACACGTAGTCTTAACGAATATTATTTCGTCGTCGTCAGTTGATCTGTTTGGAGACAGATTAAGATGAAATGTTTTATTCGTCTATCTATATTTATTTAATAAACTTGTCTGTTGTATTGATTGTATAGTTTGTTCGTTACTGTCTCGTATTTTAAGAGAGACAAGATATTACATCATTATCATCATCATCATCATCATCGTCCAACAACGACAAGATCAAACGAAGGTCAATAGTTATTAAGGTGAAGCTCAGATTATAATACATAGTTAGTGATGATGATGATATGTGTGAATAAGAGCTAATTTGAGATTATTTTACACATTGAAAAGGAAAGCCTAATCAATGTCCTGCTGTAGTTTGTCACTCTTTCTTTCTTATGCTAGTATTGAAATTGTTCTGCGTCCTATAAGTGTATACAAATTATTGTCTCTGGACGCAAAGCAGAAAGTAATGACAGAACAGTTTCGAGAATGGCAAAAAAAATGGTAAAGACTTTTTTCTCTATTCTTGCTCTAATAGAGACGCTGATTTCATCGTGTGCATTTGTGTGAGTATTGTTACGACATTCCATACCGGTGAGTACTTTTTTCCCCATTTTTGTGAATGGAACGGAAAAATTATGTCAATCAGACCAACTACAACGAAGAAATAAATAGCTTTGTCGTTTAATATATAATTATCATCATTTATTCAATAGATTTACTATATATTATGTTCATAGAAGACATACACATATTTTTATATAGATTAATAATGGTTGTCTTTTTTATTTTTCTAGAAAATGCAATTAGCTGTAGCACTTTATAATAATGATGTTGATGATGAAGATGAACTTGAATTTCGTAAAGGTGATATATTAACAGTACTAATCGAAAATCCAAATGGTTTTGATGGTTGGTGGTTATGTAAGCATAAGGATAAATATGGTTTATGTCCTGGAAATCGATTAAAACTTATACAAAATACAGTTTCTTCTCCAATAAAACTGAACAACTGTCTACATTCCTATTCTCGTCTATCGACAGCATCTGTAAGTTTGAATGAAACTATATATATGTATATTAATGCCCAAAAATATATTAGATGTACGATGATCTATCAAATAATTATGATAATCCGGTAGCGTCATCATTATTACGGAATTATGATAATGATAATTCACGAGATTCAAGTAAGTTCTTTTTAATTGAAATTCCAACAGCTAGATTATACTATTATTTATCACATGAAACAAAAGCTTTTATTTTGCGAGATATCTATAAATACGTGAAAATTTAATACAAATCATGTGAGTTTTAACGAATCGATCAACTCTCATTAGACAAAAGTAGAATTATTAAAATGTCAAATAGTCATTTTTTTTAATCTTCTAGAATTTATTTCCAATTCAAAACTTCTTGATTCATCACCTGAATCTTCTTTAAATTCATCGGGTATTTATTCTACTAATGATCTTCATTTATCTTCATCATCATCCGACTTTTACACAATGTCTCTTATGAATAATTCTGTATTGCCAAGTAAGTTTCACTGTAACATATATTCTATAATAATTGTTATCAAGATGTCGAGTAAAGAACAAACAACATATCTGTTTTATTGATAAAAATCAGATAATCCATTAGAATGATTTGTATTTAGTCGACCTTGATCAATTACAAAATTCTTTTCAAAAATTATCTGTGCGTTCATCACTTATTGATACATATTGTCAATTAATATTAAAGACAAATATTGAATCAACTATTCATTCATTTATAACTGAATGTTATTTATTTCTTCATAATTATGGTTGTTTATTAGATCGATATACCTATAGATTAATTAAAGAAAATTATCTTTATGAATTAGAACATAAGAAAAAACAAATAATTGAATTATCAACAAAAATAATTCAACTAATAAAATTAATTATTGATTTACGATTAAAACAAAAATCAAATAATAATTCATTTATATCAAATGATATATTTAAAAAACTTCATCTTGAACCAATTGCAGAGATTTCTAATGAAAAAATAAAAACATCTTTATCAACAAGACAAATTTATGAAAATTTTCTAAATAAAAGTAATGAAACAAGTATAAAAAGTTCGAAAACATGTTTTTCAGATTTTTTATCATCAACTTCATATAATAAATCAAATAATTATGAAGATATTGACAATGTTTATTCAAAAAATGCGCTGATTAAATGTTATTATCGACATATTAATGAACAAATTAATTCAATAATTAAACGTTTTTCATATTTATTAGAAAATGAAAATAAAATTTCATTGTTAATAATTGAAGGTAAAGCACTTACTGTTGCAGGACATAAACTTGTATTTGTACTTGAAACACTTCATGAACATGTGCAACAAATACATACATCATTAATTCATCTCACAACACAATTATGTGAAGCTTTAAAAAATTTAATTCAAGTACTTAAAGAATTTAGTCAGAAAAATTGTACAAATAATCAAAAATTAATCATTCAATTTAAACAGAACATCAATATGATTATGTATATTGTACAAAGAATTAAACAACATTGTAGTTTAGTTTAGTTTAATGTTAGTTTTTCTTTTTTCTTTTATTTTTATCTCGAGTCAGATATTTGAATAAATAGCATCAATAACGAAAAACAAATATTTCTGAAACAATAGCCTATTGTAAAGATAGATATATACAAGACAGAGCTACCGATAAGTCACTTTTTTCGATCTTTAGGGAGCTGTGGGTCCATGTTTTTATGAATCGGGGCGCGAGAACAGCTAGACTTCTGGATCCGAACCCAAGAATAAATTAAACTTTGGACATGGGCTTGTATCTGAAAGAATTCGCCACAGCTTCCTAATACTCTGTCCTCGAGGTACATGCTAAGCTACATTAATTAGTTCAATTGATTCAATTACTTATTTCATGTGCTTTTCTTCTAAAAAAGAAGTTAATCTGCTTTTATAACTATAATAGTTTTCCGTCTTCATTTTGTCTTTCATTTATTATTTTGTTTATTGTTATGGACTTTGCAGTTATTCCAATCATTTCTTTTTCAAATTCTTTGAAATACAACTCAGTCTATAGTGCCACTTAACATTCGAAATGGACTATGGCATTAATTTCAAGCAGACTTGGATCAAACCAAAAATGCTAGCGTAGGTTGACAGCTTTGATACAAAGATATGATATGAATGAATTGCTTTTGATCTCACTAGAACTATGTCATCGATATATCAATGTTTAACTGTACTGTTCCATATAGATGATAGCTTGTTTGTGTTTACTTGTGTGATTTCATGATTACATTGAACTTTACAAAGGTTGAACTGTTTAGTATCATAATCAGCCTTGCATTTTTTGTCACTCTCGAAGTAAAACATATTCATTTGTCAACAAAACAATACTTTTTTTTCTGTTTTCTAAAAATGAGTTATAAGTAACATAATATCATCTTGAAGGTTTGCATATTGAAATGCTGCTCTGTTCAGTTGTAAGAACTAAAACGGATATATTTTCTGCACAAAAAAGAATAATGCAAAACAAAAAATTACTTTTTACTAAAGAATTCGATACGCTCTATAATCTGAACGGATCAACAAGAATTTTTGGCGAAAAATTAGTTTGTCTGGAGAACCAGTTTTCCAGAAAACGAGCATACGAAGTCTTCAAGAGATTTCTCATAATTACATTCGAAATCAATATAGTCGACAACGTCCAATGCAAAAGCTTGTGGTGAGAAAGTGATTGATCAGTTGAAAATGTACCCTCGTGAGATAAGCTACTCTTTTCTTTTGTATAACGAAATGAATAGAAAAAAACATACATAGAAAAAAGAACTAATCGTGCTAACGTATCAAAGTGGTACGTTGAATGTACCAGTCCTGATGAATTAAAAGTTGTTTCTAACTAGACCAGTCGGAAGTGCGGATATTAGAGATTAATCATGTTGGGCATCCTCTGCGATTTTTTGCTGGTCTCGGTAAAGATCACTTTGCTAGATAAAAGGGACTAGACATGACAGAAATTTTCCACATTCCATAGACTAGTTCAGACGTGAACAAATCCGTAATTCATGAGTAGACTAGACTTGACTGCTGTAACGGATATTTTCGACTGACATAATAGAGTGTCAATAAAATTTAGGACTAGTCAAGACTTAGGGGTGTAACCAGAAAAAAGCTGTAGAGGGGGCTCAGTCCTTCCCCCCCCCCCCCCCCCCCCCCCCTCCGTTTTTTGGGGGGTGGGCAAAACCAACCCGACAACCCCCCCTCCCAAACCCGGGGGGAAGCGGGGGACTGTTTTTTTGGNCGCCGACAATTCTGGCATTCATAACGACTGGATTTTTTGAACAACCACATGGAGCTGTCGTATTACATGAATATATTGATGCTTGTACTAAATATTGATTAAGAAAAAAGCACAAGGTGAGCAATATGAGTTGAGGTGGACGAATCATGATGTTGTATTGCAATGATCTTCTCATGTGACATGATGAAGATGTTTGTCATACTTATATACATTTGATGATTAGAGTTCTTATCAAAATCTTAACATCATGAAGAGAGCAAATATTATTATATTTTTTGATTTGGTGACTCACTATGTTGAATGAAATCTTTTCTTATCTTGTAGGTGTTTGCGAACAAATTTTATTTAGTAATATCGAAATAATCAAAAAGTTCTTTTACTTGAAAAGAAAATGAGTTTATCTGAATATGTACAATATTTTCTATAGACAGTGTTATCTTTTTTTGTCATAGCATTTTATTACGATAGTAATACATAAATAACAAAGAAAGAGTCTAGTTTTGTTAGTCAAGATTAAATAATTTACTTTGAACATTATATTAAATTGAAAAAAAGCTTGTTAACGCAGCTCCTACGGGGTAAAATGTGGAACTCAAACAGCTTCTTTAGCCTGGTTATACTGCCACAAATTATATGAAATGAAAAAAATATACCATATAACAGTTGTTGTCCAATATCATCAATCGGGGGAAACATAATCTGTTTGATTACTTCTTGAGGCTTGAAAAGAATTTCGTTTTGATTTCTTTACAGAGTCTCTATTTTTGTTGTCACTCCCTCATTATTTTTAGTTTTGGTATTTTTTTCGCGTTCGTTTTTTAATTTAATTGTATTATCAGTGCAATCATTGATTCAACTGCCAAAGATGCCTCTTACACATGTAGATTTTACCTACAGCAAGTATCAATGAACTATTATATTTCTTGATCAAGTCAGAACACTGGCACTGAATTTTTCTCAAATTAACAAGTTGATCAACTGATCATTTCTCATAATCATTGACGTCTTAAATATAAATTTTTATCTGGACAAAATTCAAAAATGAACTACTAGGAATATTAGCATACGAATTTAATTGATTTAAATTTCTACAATAAACTGGCTTATGCCAGAGTGGTGAAAGTTTCTTTTTATCTTGTGCACTGATTTTTTTCTATTATTACATTCAAAAGAATAATTGTAGTGTTCAGTTGCTAGGGTCTGTAATGGGGGAGGGAGGCTGGCCGAAAAACTTGAACCTAAAACTTACACCCATTATTTTCTTCCAAAGTATATGTGAGTTCCCCAAAACAAAAAGGAAAATGATGAATATATTATTAGTCATACAGACAACACCCAAATTACCATTTACTGTTAATATAGTCATTATATCAGTTTTAGCTGATTTGTTCCAATCTATGTCTATAATATGTTAACTATAAACACTAGTATAATCTGAAATAGAATCACTATTTCTGTGCGATGTTAGACATAACAATAAGTATTGGTGACAATCCTCTAAGAAATATATTAAACAGACCGCTGAAGTGTCCATTATATGTATCTGAATAAAGATAGAATGCAGCCACAGATGACACAACGTTTCCTGGCCTGTTTTTCCATATAAGGCTGAACCAAGAGCTAGTCGGATTGTTCCAGAATCTGGATTCAAACCCTAAAATTTTCTAACCGAAGGGCTCTAATCATCTGAAGAACGTATAGGCTACAGCAGCCACTGAATACAACATGTCGGAAAAAATGATTTCTAATCTTCGAGACGACTATCGAGTTGTGACTAGAAAATTCCATTGAGAGTATCAAAGTACGGTTCGATCGAATCCAGTTCTGAAAATTTTGATCTTGATGAGTCTAGCTGAAAGACAAAATTCTAAAGCGACTTCTTTTCACTACATACTGATACTTTAAATGAGTATTCCGTGGCGTAGCTAAGAATTGTTAATGCATGGGCCGTTTGCCAGCTGAATGATTTTGAGGAGTGGACAGCAATGGGCAACTAAAAATCAATAGGGCTACAATTTTTTAAAACTTATTGGCATAACAAAACCAACGTTTATTCAAGAGAAGTTTGTTACTCTCAACTAAGAGGTGCGCTCGTACACTTGTATTGTACTCTCTCACAAATATACTCTTGAATTTTCAAATATTTGAATATACTATGTCAAAAAGCATAAATAATTAAAATAATATTACTTCACTCTTTATACATGTACGTATATTCAAGAGTTTTCAGCATTGGACAATTGGTATCATTTCAAAAAAGAATGTATGGGACGATTGCTTTGGAATTAGTTGGCAATTGTTCAATGGCCATACCTCTGGCAATACCGTTGCTGATATTATTAATTGAATTGTTACATTTGGTTTCCTTGCGTTCAATAATATTGAATCTTACTTCTCTATGAATGCTAGATTCGTCACCATCTGATGTTGTATATCCACAAATGATGAGTGCAAGTGATGATTTCATCATGAGAAATTCAGCTACTGCTGATCCGGTGAAAGATAAAAGGCATCTTTTGACAGTATTTCTATCACCAAACTCGATAAAATTTTCTAATTTAAGAGAAACAATATTGTTTTAATAGTTGTTTACGTCCGATGAGAATCAAGACAAAAATATGTAACGCTAAAAGCTTCGATTCGTTGTCATCAGAAAATGAATCTATACCAACAGGAACATTCAATTCATGATTTGTGAATCATCGAAACGATATGCTACTGCAAGAATTCAATCATAAGGAGAGGATTGCTCTACCACAGAAGGGAAACTCATCGAGAACACATAATGAGACAGCCTAAGTTCAACTATAGTTAACAACAGAGCCAATATCAATCATTTAGAATTTCATATCAACATTATGTCATGAATATTCGTATCGAGCAAAAGTATTTCAGATAAATGCAATATTCGGTATCAAATGTTCATTGAATCACATACATACAAGAAAAATTACGAGTTTAAATAAACAAATCATAAAGCTTCTTCCTATTCTACCTTCATATGTCGTGATAATGTTAGTGTTACGAAATAAATTATTTTATTTTATTTATTGTTATTGTTCAAATTGTTCTCATGTCTTTTCTACATCTTTCGTTATCTCGAAAAGAATATATTTACTTGAACAAAATATCGGTGATGAAAAAAGGAAAATTCTATTTGATACTAATCTCAGTATTTTATTCATTGAAGTAATTTGCAGTCGAATCAAAAGTGTTTCATAGCACTTATTTGATTAATGAAAACTTAAACAAAACAGACACTTTCTTCTCACAATTTTCACCTTCTATTCTTTGTTTTTTTTTCTATAATTTTAAGCAATTAACTCAAATCTAGATAGTAATTCTGATAGACAATGAAATTTTCTATCTAATATACTTCATTTTAGAAATTTCATCGATGATTCTTGATGACAAGATTTCTAAAAAAAACTGGGCACAGCTGCTTTCAAATCCAAGGAGCTATTATTTAACAGTGCCATTTCAAAGAGCAAAAAACTCTGAACGAAATGCTGAATCACTGCTTTTCCTGCAATCTTCCCGTAAAAACTTGAAAGCATCGTAAAAATTCATAAAATAACGAAATTAATCAAGAAACGCCTTGTTTTCGTTTATGTGATGCTTTTAAGTTTTTGAGAAAAGGTCGTAGTAACTATGGTGACTCATAATTTTGTTTAGAATTTTGCACTCTTTAAAATAGCATTGTTAAATAATAGTTTCTTGGATCGGAAAACAACCTTGTTCGGTTTTATAGAAACTTTACCACCATAGCTCATCTATGAAGTCTTACTGAAGAATGAATTCAATAGAAAACTTCATTGGTTATTAAAATCACTATCTGAGTTTGAGTTAGATGTTAAATATTATAGAAACATATCAATTAAAAATACGTTATTGTTAAAGTTTTCCACCACCGTACGTTCAATGTTGTTTGACAAACTCCCTTCCAAAAACATTCTGCTATTCGTTTCTCATGTTTCTAAATGACAAAAAATCATCAAAATCTTTATTTTAATTGATTCACTATAAATTAATTTTCTATGTGCAAGTATCATCTTTCGATAATAAAATCACCTTACATAATGATTATCAACGCCATCTGTCATTTATATCGATACAGAATTTAACTTAATTATAATAGTTTAACCTTTGCAAAGTACTTGGTTTCGTTTTATTTATTTACAGCTGAAATTTCATCTTTAGTGGCAGCTGTAGAAAATTTGATTGGATAATAGATGCGTCAATTATCATGAATAGAGTACTAATCGATATTCGACGTCAGTCATCATTTATCTGTGTTTATACTTTAAAAATGACTTCATCAACGTTGTTTCGTCTCGATCAACGAGTGTCTATTGCTGGCAAAGGCTTAGGCACAATTGCATTTGTTGGAAAAACCGACTTTGCTGATGGTAAGTAAGCTTTTTATCTTTAAATTTATATTCAAAATTTTTACAGGTGAATGGATTGGTGTTGTTCTTGATGAACCCAAAGGAAAAAACAATGGAACTGTACATAAGAAAGGTAACAATAATATTCGACATGATTTTACATACGAATATTCTTTTTAGATGGAACAATTGTACGATATTTTGCATGTAATGATAATCATGGTCTTTATGTAAGACCTGGACAAATTGAATCTGTAATTAATGATTTACAACCAAATCTAACTCGATCAGCTTCGAATCATTCAATAAAATCTCAAGGTAGTAGTACAGGAAGTATTCCACCACCAGCAACTTCGGCAATTCCAAAAACAAATGCAGTACCAAATAAACATAGTGGACTTCGAGCACCAACACCGGGTACAATCACTAAACCTTCAGGTATAAAATAATCAATAAAAGCAAAGATATTCTTTAAATATGAATATAAAAATAATTAAGAAAAAGAAAACCAAGGAAAATTCTGTTATTTTGTATTATATTAGGATTTGATGGTGATATTGATCAAACAGGTAGTAAAATCAGACGTATTTTTATTTTATTTTTAAATAATATCATGCAATTAATGGTGATGGTTTTTTTTCTAATTATTACGTTCAGTGCTCAATCTTTTTCTTGTTTTTTTTTTGAGGTCTTACTCGAACTGCTCAATCATCTAATGATATTCCAACAGAAGTAACAACGGAACGAATATCACCACGTAAGGAAGAGATTAAACCACTACCAACATCAGTATCACAATCAAAAGCAACAACTTCTATGGTAAAAGAAATACTTTATTGTATTTAATGCTTTTTTCATTTTGGAAATAATAACTTGATATACTGGTAGAGACGTAAGCCAATGCGGGGATTCGACGGCGAATATTTTTGGAACGTATTTAAAAATATTGTAACATACGAGAATTTCGAACGTGAAAAATAACGATAGGGAAGTCCACTAATAAAAAAATTATGTAAAAAACTGTCTAGAGATATGCAAGGTAAGCATAATGTCGTACTCTGTGTCCTGACGGAGAAAAATTTTCTAATCCTTACCTTACTGCATGCACCCTGCACACTTCTAATACTCTCAAAAAACGATCTTAGAAGTCGAAATCTTTTATAATGTTACTGTCTATTTTGTTCCGAAGGAACGGTTGTGATTTAGAGAACTGTAATCCAATGGTAGAGTGCTACTGTGAAAATTAACGATTTGTGGAGATAAAAAAACTTCGTTTTCTACAACACAATTGATAAAAAAATTTGAAAAATATATGTTTTTAATGCCTGCTGTTTACTAGAGATATGATGCAGTAATACAACCTTCGGATCCAGCCACTCGACTTCCATCTCTATAAATCGAGAAAAGAGTTATGTCATGTTTATAGTCCTGAACTATTGTTTATAACTTTCGCATAGTACGACGGTCATTGTGTTATGTTTTTAAATACAATTTCGTGCTCTTTGAAAATCTTAAATATCTAAATCTTTTGTTTTGATTTTTCTTGAAAAAAAATTTTTTAGCCACCACCAGCTTCAATTCTTCCTGTAGAATCAACTAATATACCAAGAAAATCGATCAATTCAATATCAGATTCATCAGACTCTCAACAAGTTATTACAAGTCTAAAGAGTAAAATTAATGATCAAGAAGAACAAATTCAAACATTAATAAAAAAACGTCGCGATGAACTTGAAAAAGTTAAAGAATTTGAACGTACAAAACTTCAACTTGATCAAGTATATCTTTTAACTAATAGAGTTTCTTTATTTATAAATATCTATATTTAGTTACAAACATATAAACGTGAAGCACAAGAACGTATTAAAGAATTAAATGATAAATTACAACAACAAGAACATGAATTAAAAGATACACGTGATAAATTTGCTGCCTATCGTGATGAAATGACTGATACTGAAGTACGAATTGAATCACTTGCACTTGATCTTGAAATGGCTGAAGAAAAAGTATTTATCTTCTATTTCGTTTTTTCTTTTTAAATGGTAATTTTTCTTTGATTATCTCTTTTTAGCTTGAAATTATAACATTAGAAAATACAACATTAAAAGAAAAATTAGAAGAAGTACAATTAGAATTAGATGTTATTAAAGGTGAAATACAATTAAATGGACCTAATCAAGTAGCAAATGATATTCAACAAAAAATTGATGATGAACGAACAATTAAAATGGAACAAGCATTGATTAAGTAAAATCTTTTGTTTGTTTGTTTTTCTTATTTATTCAATTAATTTCATTTTATAGATTACGTGATTTATCATTGAGTAAACAAGCTGAAAATGATACATTAAAAAAACAATGTGAAACATTAGAACACAAAGTCAAAATATTAACAAAAGAAAATGAAAATGCTAAAGCTGAAATTACAACAATGCAAGCAACAATTGCTGATTTAACAGAACAGGTTCTACAAAAATAAAAATAAAAACTATTATTTTTATAATATTTATCTGTAAAACATTCGATAATATTGAATAAGTTTTTTCATGAGAAGTTATATTTTGAACAATTTAATCTCGTTCTGTAGTACTATAAAACAAAAAATCTTTAAAGTTCTGTGTCATATTCAACATGTAATAGCAAAGTTTTGAACTACATGTATAGTCTAGAGCGATGACAAGTTTCTTAATATTGCCAGTAAAATAAGGATGAATGCATGATATAAAACCAGTCACTATCATAGTTTTTCGAACGAGAGAACCACCCGCCACTTGAGCTCATATTACACCTAAAGGAGTTCGCCGCCATGGACCTTTGAAACCGAGTTATGATCATTCTACTGAATTTTCGAGCCAGCTTTAAGTATGTGTCGAAAAATCAAGTAATAGAATTTTGATCTAAAATTTGCTTCACAGATATGTCGAATGGCCGTCAGGGTATCCTGAAAGTTTCAGTTGAAAGAAATATTTTTTCGAGTAAACACGATTTTTGTATCAGATCTATGACAAAACGACCATTTTTTGAAAGTTCATTTTGCGACAAAAGCATATTCATTTCACCTGAAATTTTCAGGATATTCTACTGATAATTCGATCTATTTATGTTCAAATATTGGCTTTTGTTTTTTCGATATCTACTTAAAACTGGATCAAAAATTCAGTAAAACAATCATAGCATAGCTCCAATGGTTCGAGGAAACAAACTCTTTTCAGTTTCTGCTAGTCTCATCAGCATGCCCATGTAGGCTAGAGCTGGTCATATTCAAAATTTTCGAACTCTCGCCTCACGAACTCTATCGTAGGCCCAATATGAGCTTAACCCTTTGAGTCCCGACTTTTTTTTACCGAATTTAAATTTGATAAAACATGTTATCAAATAGCTAGATGATACTGCGAAACCTGTGGTTAAGTTATAATTAATTAAATTCACTTTTTGGCATAATCCTGAGGGGGACCAGGGGACCAGAATGTGATGAAAAATGAAAGTCGCAAAAACGATATGAAACATATATAGATCGACGCAGTTTTGTGTGCTGATTCAGAATATGATAATTGTTTGAAGTCATATCGACTTTATTCTCGTCGAACAGTGTCAAATACTAGTCAAAAAGAGCAAAAATGAATGTTGAGGATAGGAGTTCGACAGAAAGTGATTCACTAGACATTGAATTTCAAGTTGAAAATAGTTTCATTTGAAAGAATATTTCAAATTACGTATTCCATAAAAAAATCTCGCTGGTATACCCGTATAAACAATAACCTCTAAGGAGAGGAAAAGTCATTCTTCATAGCAATAGGGCCTAATCGGAGCGGTATTCGACAGTTATCGATAGAAAAAGTTTTCAATATCTTAAGGATTCTTATAGATTCTGGTAGAGAAAAAAATTCTGCGTCGAAGAAGCCTGTTTTTGTTTAATCCAAATAGGATTTTCATGGACGTTCATATCAAAAACTGGTTTTGGGGGCTTTCAGAAAGTGCTTCAGATCTTTCTTATTATCCGACTAATTGTTAGAAAAAACATGATATTTGTAATCAGCAAACTGAGCTCTATCAAACTATAACGACATCTAAGAGAACGGCGACAAAAATTTTTTTTTTAATCCCTGGAGGACCCCAGGCATGAAAAAATGAGTGGTTACAAAACGTAAAATAAACTTGTGAAAAATAATTAGGAATGAATGCTAATTCTTAGGATAATAAAAATAGACTGAGGCGTTTTGAGATACCAAGTCCATAATTTGGAACTCCTCCTTTCTGAAATTAATAAATAAACTTACCATAATACATTTTTTGATATTGTCTATTCTTATGAATATCTATAAAATCTCGCTCAAATATTTCTTAATTAAAAATATATGTTCAAAGGCTTCCTTCTGGTTCTTAAAAACCGCAAACACTCGTGAAATGTTTTGAAAATTAGAAGTTTTCTTTAGGTGGGATGTATATATCCCACCGGGACTCAAAGGGTTAAACAGAGGGTGTCAGCTAGAGTGGTTCATTCGTAAATATTTACTGGCTTGATTAGTTTTAGCAATAATTCTTAGAAGTATATTTCCCACGCTTTATTAATATATTTATGATTTCTTAAAACACTTATCACGTGTTTTGTAATGAGAAACGATTTGATGCAAAATAAAGAGTGTGTCTTTTATTGAAAAACTAAAATTATGTATTCGTTTAGGTTGATACATGTTTGGGTGCTCAACAAATGGTTGATATATTAACAAATAAAAATCTTTCACTTGAAGATCAAGTACGAGAATTACAAGAAAATGTTGATAATCTTGTAAGTTTTTCTAATGTACTTTTGTTTTATTATAACACTTTTTTTTTTTGATTGTTTTCAATGAAAATTCAAATAGGAATCACTTTGTGAAATGGATAAAGGTAAATAAAAGAAAAAATAAACTTAACTTTCTTTTCATATCTTCTTCTATCATTTATTTCTGCAATATAGAAATGGAAGAAAATGCTAAAGAAGTCGAACGTGATCTTCGTGAAAATATTGATTTATTACAAAATCAATTACGCGAGGTTTTACATTTAATTTTCTTTTGTTCAAATTAAATTCAAAAAAATTTTTTTTTCTTTCTTTCAGAAAGATCGACAAAGCGAACAATTACAACACGTTATCGGTGATCATGAACGAACAATATTAAAATTTCGTGAAACAGTTAAAAATATGCAAGTATGTTTATTTTATTAATTAATAAATCTATTTAAAAAAAGAAACTGAAATTTGCTCATAGTCGCAAAATGAACAATGTAAAAAACAAATTGAAAAATATGACGAACAATTAAAACTAGCTGGTTCAGTTCAATCAAGTGAATTTAAAGCTAAAATTGTTGAAACAAAAACATATGGTGAAATAATTGAAAATGAATTAAAAAAACTTGATGTACAAAATTTAACAAAACATGTTAATTTCTTAACATTATTTTTACCTGAACAATTTCTTAAACGTGGTGCTGATCAAGATTGTATACTTGTTCTTTTACTTGTTCATCGTTTAATAACGAAATGTGATTTATTAATAAATGAAGTACAAAAAAAATTTCCAAGAATTGATCAATTAAATTTTGATGATGTTGTTAACTCACATCGGGCAGAACAATGGAGTTTTGCATGTAAACTTTCTCAATCATTATCAATTTTTCAAATGATTCTTCGAAAATTTCTCAAGTAGGCTTCTTTTTTTCTTCCTTTGAAGAAATACTTCATGGATCTATGATATAACAAGAGATCTGCATGACTCGCGATCAATTTGTAGATCCCTATCAGAGCTGTCCATAAGCCACTTTTTTCAGTCTAGATTTGCAGAGCAAATCTGGCGGACTGATATTTCTGTTTGTTTAAATCTACTATATTCTATAGTCTTATGAATCGTAATATAAGGATTATGAAGGTGAAAAAGAAAACTAGAAAATCATCAGAACATTAGTTAAATTGTGGTTTATACTAAATAATCTTTATTCTCTCTATATTTTAACTAAGATCAAATATGAACATAATAAAGTTTCGATTCTTCTCTTTCAATTGAAATGAGAACAAGATATCAGTGGTGGATTTTGGAACAGGAATTGATTACGATCATAAAGCCTGTAAGAGGTCATATTTGACTCATTGTTGGACGTTTTCTACTGAGAAAGACTGAAAATTTTTTTGAAAGGGAGAGACAACCATTGCCTCTAAATCTGCCATCGGAACATATATTATTTCGTTTTTTTTCATTTATTTGTTCAAATGTCATGATGTCACGTGATCGATTTGCAGATCTCTAGATATAAATTATTCAGCGAATATAAGTCTCCTTCAAGCTCTTTTTGATAACATATTTGAACTTGCCGGTTTATATTACCTTTGTTATAACAAAATCTTCTTTCATAGTCTCAGTGAGTTTGTACATTGAGATATATTCCAAAATTTATAAACTAGACAATTTTAGTGACTAACAATTCATTGAATAGACTAAAGGAACATAATCGGAAGATTATTTTTTAACTCAGATGATATGGATCTAATTGAAGCCTTATTTTCAAACGGAACTGTCTTCTACGGAAGGAAGAATACGCCATCTTTCGGATACCTAGCGGCAGATCCAATAGGTCAATACGTTCCTTACAACTAATGCTAACTATAATCATGAACAGAGGAGCAGCCTGAAGCCAAGTTCTTGAACTCCGCGTATACACTAACTAGAAATAAGAGCAGATGTGTGTCACAACATAGTCAGTATGCTATCGGACGGGGTAATCCGAGACAAACTATCGTTAGTATCTTGCCCAGAGTCATTTCATGGTTGGGTGTACCAGAATTTGAACACTATATCTTGAGAATACATATCGAACAACGTAAGCGTTCAGTTATGGTGACTCTGAACTCCGGTTCAAGTCTAAGTTTATTTCATTATTCCTCATAATAAACTGTATTTCTACGAAAAAAAAGTTCTAAGGTTTCTGTTCAACAAGATGATGTCGTGCTTAGCTGAAGAGCACAGTATTAAGTAGCATGAATTTAGATCACTCTATTGTTGTAGTGTTCTATAAGGAACTTGGATCCGAATCAGCAGTTCACCAGATTTGTATCGAAAACATCCGAGATTGATATAATTGTTCTTAAAATATTCATTTTATTCATTATGTCTGAGCTCGATGCAAATTTTACTGCTGAGATGTTAGACTTTTTTCGAACTGTACGTGAAAGTATGTAAAATTAGTAGAGTCTATAAGTTTTGATCATTTTTTTATCTACAAATCAATCGCTCTCATTGAACCAGAGTTCACGGTAGATTTTTCTTGAATCACCATAGTTTTTATATTTATATGTGGTGTTGTAGAGAAGTTCAAGCTCAATCATTCGATAAATATAAAAACGTTTCACTCAATATAAAACATAAAATTCTTTACGAGCTACACGTTAATTTATTTATGTATTTAAATTCTAGAGCAATGGAAGTGTGCAATCCCGATAGTCTTCGTCAAATCGCTAGTACTTATCATGATTTATTAACACATGAAAAATCACTTGATTTTCTTATTGATCTTTTACAAAAAGATCAATTACATGATTCATTATCATTAAATGCATTAGATAAAACAATATCATTTTATGAAGTATATATTCATTTTTTTGTTTTCTTTATTTAAATAGGTTATCTATTGTTTTCATTCGTTTTAGCACATCTATAAAAGTTATTTAAGTGAAGAAAAATTTTCAATGTCGAATTATATGCGAGATTTAACACGTGCAGTATTATACAGTAGTGATGCACTTCAAATAGATACTCAACGCATACAAGTTTTACAAAAGGTAAATATAAAAAACAAATGAATCTTATACTAAATCAAAATTTTATATCCATAATATAGGAAAATGAACAGGTAAAACTGCATGAGAAATATTTTTTATAAGTTAGGTGAAATGTATAAATATTGTACTGCTGCGTTATTTGCTAAAACTAAGTTGGTTATTGGAATAACAACCAATTATTCTATATGCTTTAATACATTTGATTTAGAAAGATTTTACTAAATGAGACTATAGATTTTTACTATTCAGACCCGAAAAAAAAGTCGAATGATACGGTTTGGATCAAGATAGTTTTATACTTAAAATGTATTTTGAATTCATTCATTCCTGTCACTCTGATATTCTTATGATAGAAAATTTTCAAGTCAATTATTTTCTGCTCTTTTTTTAAAGCAACTTTTTTTAGATAAACCTTAAGCAGTAAAATCATTTTTTGAAATAATGTTATTAAATTAGTTGATACAAGTAGTTAATATATTATTTAATCATAGTTAGAATTTTTAAAAGAGATCTGAAACACAATGCAAATAGGTACTTCATGTTCATTGACAAAGTATCTATTAGTACTTTATGCTAAATAGCAAAGAATTTTAATGCAGTTTTTCCAAGTCCGTGGGCATGAAGTTGATATTTAAAACAAAGAGATATTTTAATAATATATTTGATGAAAATAAAATAAAAGACGCATCATCTGAAATTGGAATATATAAGCAAGAAGAAGAAGATGAGTAATTTCCCATGTGATTTAAACCGAAAAAAACCTATTCGTAGACCGTTCGGAATAATGTGTACTATGCCAGTAGTATTTTAATACTTGCATAGTCGATCCTCCCACACCCTAATGTCGCAGCAAGTAAGCAAAGTGCAAAACACAATATTTTTTCAAAACTAGAAGTACCTCAGGTATTTTACTTTTGCTTGAGGTAGTTAATGTCGGACAAAACTGCATATGGTCACATCTGATTTATTCACTTGACAAAAATCAATTAGCAGCGCTCGACATGAGGCAATTTTTTGTGCCTCAATCCTCAGATCTGGAATAGTTCTCCATCAGTTGAACTGACTTTTTTCAAAGACTCAACATCCTTCTTTAGTAAATCTAATTATGTTCTCTCCAAATTCAAAAAAATAAAATCCCGTCTGTCTTATGCAAAGTTCAACATCGATTTTGTTTATTATGGTCTTATTTGAAAACTACAATTTTCCCAACGACTAGATCAGACCTGAATCGGATTGTGTCAAATAGTGTCGAACTATTACAAACAATAATATGATGATTATTCATATTGATATTAAACACATTATTGTTTATTTTCTTATTTCACGCTTAGAATATATCAAAAGAAAAGTTTTATTTCAATAATTTCTTTTTATAATTTAGCCTGGTAATGATCAAAGTCCATTTGCTGTTCTTGTTAAGCGTCTTATTGATAGTAATGAACAAATACGAGCTCAAGGTGGCAAAGTAATAAACAGAAACACAACAAGAAGAAAAAAATGTCTTCCCTTATCAAACATCTTTTTATTTTCTTATAGATAAATCGTCTTGTACCACAAGATGAAGATAAAAATCGTTTATTAACTCTCGATTCAAATAGCATATCTTCAATTGAAGCATCTATTCGTAATTTAGATCGTTTAACCAAAACATTTCATGAAATATGTTCTAGTTTAACAACACAAATTCTCTTACTTTCTGGTACATCATTTCTTTTATATCAAATAAAACATTGTATCTTTTTTTGTTTTGTTTTTAGATGCTAATGAACGAGTAAGTACACAAGATATAGAAAATATTGCATATCAAGCATGTGATAAAGTCTATAAAAAAGAAGATAGTGGTCCATATGAAAGTCTTTGGTAAATATTTCATATTTATTTTTTGTTTTCTTAAATAAAAAAGAAAAACGAATATTTTTTGTTTTTCTTTTCTCTAGGGATTCTATGCATGAAACTGTTTCTATATTAACAACAATAAGTAATTCATTAGAAACAGGTTCATATGATTCAACAACAATTGAACAAAATTCTAAACAATCAATTTATTTAATTGCTGAACAATTTAAAACATCAATAAATCAATCAGATGTAATTCGTAGTAAACTTGAATTAAAAGAAGAAGAATTATTAGATATTAAAAAATTGCTTAAAATAAAACAAGATGAATTAAGTGAATTAAATATACGTTTATCATTAAATGAAAAAAAAATTGAAAGTTTACAAAAAGAATTCGAAGATAAAGATAATAAACATAAACAAACATTAGAAGAAGTTAAAATTGATGGACAAAAAAAGATTAAGTAGATTTAAAACATTATCATAATAAGACAAAAATAAAAAGTTTTCTTCCTTATTTTTCTTTTTACGTATAGGCAATGCGAAGAAGCTATAGCTGTTTTACAAAATGATAATGAACAACTTGAACAAGAAAAAACTGCATTAAAAGAACGACTTAAACAATTAACTAAAAATCAACTTGTTGATGGTTTAATGCAGAAAAAAATTGGAGGAACATTAAAAACACCTGGAATAACTAGTAAAGATATATATTGTCTTTATTTAAACAAAAAAAAAAAAACTTTTTTTTCCATTGATTTAGCTTCTATAACAGATGGACAAGTATCTCCACAACGCCAATTATCGTCGCCATCTGTCAGTGATGGGGGTTTTGTATCAACAACGAGTGAACAAGAAGTATTATTTAATATGTTTCTTATAGAAATGTTACATATATATATATATACATATTATAGGTTTCAGCACTTCGAAATACTGTTCGACTTTTAAAAGATGAAATATGGCATTTAAAAATGAATCGTGCATCAGTTGAATTCTCTAAACTTGAGACGCCAACACCAGCTACGAAAATAAGTGAAATAGCTGATATTTATAAAAGTTCAACATTGCTTTTAAATGTATGTATATCAATAAAAGATCATTCCAATGATATCTACATGCAGAATTTCACCGTTTTTTTTTCCTACAAATATTAATATTTTTGCTAACGAACGAACTAAAGTGGTGGAAAGAAGTCTTACAATTTTAAGCGATTTCATAGATTAACTATGGTGGCAAGATTACTAAGGAGACTGGACACAGTAGCTTTCAGATCGGTAATGTTTTTAAGGAAAAGCCGTAGAAAATGCAAGAGCATTTCGTTTTATTGAGAATTTTGTACTCTTTTAAATGGTATTCTTAAAGAATAGCTTATTGGATCTGAAAGTTACTGTATTCAATTTCTTAGAAACTTTGCTATCAAGTCTTGGTATAGACTATCTCGATTTTAGCTAAATTCTTAACATTATAGAAATATATAAACAATAGCGTTGTTGAATAAACTTTTTCTCATCATCTTACTAATGTCCATAGGTTCTGAAGACGAAATACGACCATTTGACTGAAATTTCAATGGGAAACTCAGTTGATAGATAGATCTAACAACCGTTAGAATATGCTGAAAGTTTCAACAGAAAAGAATGTTCATTTGTCCAGATGTTGAATTTTTAGTAAAAATTCCCTTGCCACATCGAAAAGGTAGACGGTAAATTAAAACCGAAATAAAACATTATGCTTGAAGTTATAATGTGATACTAGATTGATCAGATAGCTAAAATTAGCCACCCAGAAATTCGTAATTTGTGCAAGTCTGTTTTTCTAAATTAGGCATGTTAATCACTCAAATTATTAACAAGAAATTATTTAGGCTTACTATTTTCATGTTGATAGTGGTAGTGTAATGTGGAATATAACGATACATAAAGACAAAACGAATTTTATTTATTCATTTCTTGAACTCTAAATCCACTGTATGCTTTCTATTAAAATCAGCATTAAGTATTTTTTTGAAAATTACAAAATTTATTCAACGAGTAATAAGCAGACAGACATGTTTTTCCTTATTTCAGGATCTATTTTCATCAATAGCCAATTATAAAATAACTGGAGAAAATGTAGCTGTTAAACAAGAAATTATACGTTCAAAAATGAAATTAGTCGATCAAACAGCAAATAGTGTAAGTACATATCTTTTACTATTGACGCCAAACATTAAAATACTCGAATAATTTTTGACTAATATAAGATAATGCTATGCGGTTTTCGACTACCGATGACCAAAACCCTAAGACATTACATCCACTTTTCAGACTATGACTATGTTAGGTAAAAAAATCAAATGCAAGAACCATACAAAATCTTACAGTAGATTAGCAAAACTTTTTTTAAAGTTCATAATTCTGTCAAAATACATAAGAACTAATTCAATAAATCAAATATTCTTCATTTTATGAGATGTATTCTTTTGATTGGCTAAGTTTCTGAAGAACTTCAACAAAACGATAGAGTTTTCTACTCGTTTCTAAAGTCTTTCTTAACTTTGACGGTATGCTGCAAATAAAAAGGATATATTTTGATTCATCGAGTCTGATCAATAACATGCCTTGCTGAAGATGTATGAATAAACAATACAAAAATCCTAGGGCTTCTAAAACACCATTCGAAACTCTTGGTCTAAACAAAACTGAACTTTTGCTTTGATCTAATTCAATAGAAGACACTTTACGCAATACATCTACGAAAAAAAAACACAAATGAGTCCGTATGTCAGTTTTCAGGATTACAACATAGTTTTAAAAGATTCTCTGGAAAATCAACCTTCGGAATTTTTGCGGAAAACAGTTTTGCTTATCAATCGTTGAAAACCATATGTCATTATCTTATATTTCACATGAGTTATTCGTAAAATATTCGAACTCCTTGATTTCTGGTGTCATTATACAATATCTTTTATTCTTTAGCTTAATAATCGTCTCTATCAATGTCAAAGTAATATTATTCCTGGTTCAACAATTGAAACCATGATGAAAACATATTGCAATCCACAATTTTCAAAAGTTGATCTAAATTATTAAAATCATTTTGTTTTCTTAAATAATTTTCTTTTAGACTGTTGCATGTGATCGACAATTAGCAGCCGAAATTCAATTACCCGGTGGTGTTAGTGGTGATGGTAATGGTGGTGAATTAAATATAACTCAAGAACAATATCGTACAATAATGCGTGAAGCTATTGGTTGTGTTTAATTTTTTTTAATCTTATTCATAACAGATAGTTGTGTTTTTTTTCTTTTATTGTGTCTTATATGGATAACGATATTCTTTATATATATATATCTTAACATTTGGTATTTGTTTTTCCACGGCAGGGTGTATTTATATAAACAAAAAAAAAATAAAAATAAAAATTTCTTATTGGTTTTATTTTGATTTCGTCTTCTTTTTTTTGCCTTTTTTCTTTTTTTTAGGTTTTTCTGGTTGAGTAAATTTAAGAAAAAAATCTATAAAATAGAAAATAAATCGAAAGAAAAATATATATAAAATTTGTTTTGTTTTTTTCTTACCATTATAATTGAATAAACCTTGTTCATTAATATTCATATTATCTTGAAATGTTTTTGCTTCAATTTCATTGAGTTGTTCGCCAATATTTGTTAATTTTTTCATCATTTCATCAGCTTCTAATAAACCAGATTTTTCTGTATCAAATATTTGAAAAGCAGGAATAATATCTTTATCAGTTACAGATGTTGGAATATTTATAAATGCGCTAACATATTCAGGAAATTTTAATTGATCAGTTTCTTAAAATAAACATTAATGATTTTCTTTTGTTTATCTTATTTAAAAAAAAAAAGAACTTTCGTTCTTGTTATTATTGTTTTTTACTTTGTGGATCAATTTCTTTTGTTACTCGTTGAATATCACTTTCAAGTGGATTAAAACCAAGTGTACGAAGAATTTTACCAAGTAAACTAGTTTTAATAATACCTTGACTTTTTGTATCATATTTATCAAACACTTCTTTCATTGCTAAAATGAATTAATTAGTAAGTTTTGAAATTTAAGTAATTCTTTGATCATAACGATTCTCAAAAGAAACTTACTAGGGAAGTTCTTTAGCTGAAGTTCAGACTCTTAGCTTATTACCAATTTTCAATTTGAAACTTTATATAGAGACAAGCCTTAATGAAAATAGTTTTTTATGAATATTGTAGATCTTATCGTTGCTCCTATTGTAATTTAAAATTAAAAGATATGAAATTTTCATAATAATGAACTAGTTTCGTTCAAACCTATCTTTGTACAAGGTTTCAAGTCGGAACTCAACTTTCTTGGTGTTCCTGATTGAATCACAGAATTCATGTGAAAATTTCTGTCTAGTACAGTATGTCAACAGCAATAAGTCAAGGATTCGAGCTCCTTTCATTATATTCAAAACTCATTTGAACCTACATGATGAACATAGTCTAGACCTACCCTGTCTAACTAAACGTCTTCTACAAATGGTCTCGTAGAGTACGATATGGATCAAGTCGATATAAATAACGAAAAAATTCTCCATTATCTTTTTTCTAGTAAAATCAATGAGTATTTGAAGATGATTCTCAAGTAGAGATGTATGAAGTCAAGTATATTTGGTTACGGTAACTTCTGGATGAGATATGACCTCAAAGAAGTGTTGAAGTATAGGAGTAGAAATTTGAGCCCTTCCCAGCAGACTTGACAGACATTGTTAATATACTATCAAAGATCGTACATCAATAACATCTCATTATAATATATAAGCTACTTCCTTATTGCATTTCTAAAGTATTAAATAAAAGGAACTTGAAGAAATGTGTCCTAAAATAAATAGAATAAAACAATCTCCCTATGATCAGCAACAGTTAGTACATTGTGTTTCATATTTTAATCCTACATGAATCGCGCTAACAGCTTTTTTTTATTGGTCCTTTTTTAGAGAAAACTATTCTAGAATTTATTCGTGTCATATATTTAAAAAAATTCTTCAATGCTCGTTTTTAGATTTATTTAGTCGACGATAAGCATTTTTTTAAGGTTCTCTCTCTTAAATTATGTTTTGATTAATGATTAATAGAATAATGTGCTTGAAGTAATAGAAAATTTAACTGTAATCTTCTTTTTTTCTCGTAGTTTCAATCACGTACATCTCTATTCTTAAATCAACAATTCATGATAAATAAAATAAAAAAGAAATCATTATATAATATATAAATTGTTTCTCGATCTTATCTGTGTAAGGACAAGTTTTATCTTGAAATTGTAAATATATTAAAAACAATAACATTGCCTTTGACAAAATATTTAACTTTGAATTAATAAGAAAATAAAGTTACTCTGATCTACCTTGTTGAGCAAATATTTCTTATATATTAATGTTGAGTACGTAGATAAATGATAAAATATTGATAATATTTACCTTTTAATTCATCGGATGTTAGAACACCATTCTAATAATAATAAATTAAAATTTTCGAATATTTCATCTCGTTTAACTTACATATTGAGTAATAAGTGTTTTCATCATTTCAGCTTCCGCTTTTTTTTGTCTCTCAGTTTTGACGGGTTTCTTCGCAGCATGTTCTTTATCTTTTTTTGGTGGCTAAAAATACAAACAAATTCTTATTATAGGAATATNGATATAGAGAATGATTCATGATAAAATTTAATCTCGTATAACGAGAGTTTGTCATTGACTAGGTGTACCATGCGATGTTCTTGTTTGTTTTTTGTTTTCTTCATCAAAGAATCACTATATATATATGTATGTATCTGTGTACTAAATCATTATAGTTTTGTAAACTATGATTTATAGAAAAATTCATTAGATGCGGAGAAAAAAAACGATCATTTATGATCAAAAGAAAGAGGAAAATGCGAAAAGATCTTGATCATATATAAGAAAAGTTTATATGTACTATATCATTCTCTGTTCATTTTCGTTTTGAAAAAAATCCACTTGATTTCTTTTTGCCTGTTGGTGGTTGTTGAGATGAACTCGATGAAACTTGTGGTTCAACTGATGAACTTGAACGTAATGGTAATGTTCGTGATTTGTGTTCGGCAGTCGATGAAGTTTGAGACATTTGCATACCTAAACAAAAAAAAAACATCCATTATGATTACAAAAATTAATAAAGTTTATTAATTTTATTTTATTCTTCAATATGGTCACATAATTCTAAATTGATTGATATGAAATTTCGAGTCAATTTTTAATTGACAAAAGTTCAACTATGAAGTAAAATGTAACCAACTTTGAATTTTTTTTATCCGATATTTTTATTCTAAATAGAGCTTGATAAAGCCTGATCGCCAGTAATAATCCGAGGTCTATCTTATTTTATAATACTTCTTTTTGTTCGCTATTATATTTGATCGTTAATGTACATTCTATTATTGACAAATAAAGCTCAATATATCATGTATGTGTCACAGATAGGATACACTTATCTGATGGGATCTTGAAGTCTAGAGACGTTTTTATTATTTCGAACCATCTTCGAAAAGATCTCTTCTCCACCAACAATCATAATCATGAAATTTTTCAGATAACTCGTTGGAAGAAAGATCAAGTCAAATGATTGAAAATACTCAGAATTACAAGTTACTGTTTTTGGTGAAGTCTACTAGCTCTCGTATTAAAATCATTGAAAAATAATTTCATAAGTTAGGCAGCCTACAATTGTTTGAGATGAAATTTCTGATTTGAATGAAAAATCAATATGAGCATTCTAACTTCGTCGCCTGAGTGTCGATCAAAATTCTGATTACGGATATAGTTATGAGTTTTAGTCTTCTTTTCAGTCTCATCCACATCCTCAAGTTGCTTTTTTAAGTGTTTTCGCATATCGTTTATAACGCAACTAGCTGGCCTTCGTGTTTACTGAATACACATGAAAATACTCAAACTGCCGAAATCGTCATTAGAGTGTTCAAACGCGCTTTCAGAATTCTTGCCTATTCGAAATAGTTCGAAGTTCAAATTAAATGAGCGAAAAAACAGTTTGAACAGTTCGTTCTGATAGAAACTAATCTACTTCAACAGTTCAATTCTTAGAACTTAACTGTCTGAAAAATTTTATTCTGTTATCGTAACGACGTTTCAGTAACAAAACAAAGGTTTTCTTAATAACCGAAGTACCATTTACAAAAACAAAAAAGTATTTTTTAAACTCGGAAATGCTTTTCTCAAAAATTGTCCGCACAACTCAGTTCCAATCAAACGAACTTAATGAACAATTCTTGTGATATAAACTAAACTATTCGAATAGATCACAAAACATTTTCAACATATTCGAACTTGTCAATCTCTATTGCATATTGAGTTTTAGTCAAAAATAAATAAATAACATCAAATCTACTGTTTAAAACTGAATATTTGAATTTTCATTACTATTCAATATTATGTTTATATCTTACCTGGTGTACTTGATATCATAGTAGACGCTTGTTGATGATGAGGAGAACCAGTTGATGATGATGGTCCCATTGTTGCTGTTGGTGGTGATGTTAAAGCAATAGATGGTATTTGTGTTGTTTGTGTTGTTGGTGTAGTAGTTATTGATGATGATGATGATATACAATTATTAATTGCAACAATCCATTCATTCATTTCAATATCATCTTTAGCATGAAATAAATATTCATTACCATCTTGAAATTTCAAACGAAATACATTTGGTTTTTTACGATAATCAATTGCTTGTGAAACATTAGTTGATGAATCTAATTGTTGATCATCTGCTATTGTACGACCTGTTTTTAAATGTTTAGCATCTTTATAAAATGTTAAACGATTATTTATTAATGCTGTATAATATTTTTCCCATGCACGATGTGTTGCTTTACGTTCATATCCTTCCCATTCATGTTTACGTGATAAGAAACCTTCTTTTACTGTTGGTAAACGTGTTGTTGATTCTGATCGTCGTTGTTTATTATTTGTTGTATCTAAATCTTGACTAGACTGTTGTTTGCCTGATAATGTTGTTGAATGAATACCATCTGTTGTAGTTTGTTCTTCAATTATTGTTGATTGATATTTTGTTTTATCAGTTGATGTTGATGGACGTTCAGCATCACGTTCTTCCCATGTTTTAAATTCTTCTAAATAAACTGGTAAACGACTTTGACGAGGTTCAACTGGTGGTAATTGTCGTTTCTTTTCTAATGTTGTTAAATTACGTAATGCATTAAAACGATCTTCTTGTGCTAATAAAGACTTTTCAAATTGTTCATGACGTTTTATTAAATTTTCAACTTGATCTAATGTTTCACCAAGTTCTTCATTAGCTAAATATGATTCTTGAGCAATTAACCATGTTTCAGCAATAGCTGCATCACGTGCAAATTGATAAACTTCTAATATAAGTTGTAAATATTCCCAACGTTCATTCCATGTATCACCAACATGATCACGTAACATAGATAATTGTATACATTTTTCTTTTACTTCAGATGAACGTACATGTCGACGATTAATTAAATCTTTGCCTAGAAAAGTAAAAAAAATATATAATAAATAGATGAATGAGTTAGAGATATATGCAATCATATTCTTATTTTAAAATAGATCATTTTCGTAAAAAATTTCATGGTGTTTTATTTTCTTTACATCAAAATCTGAGAAAATAGATTATTTGAATTGATTGTTTTTTTTTGTGAATGATTATGAAGTTTAAAATAATAATTTCGTCTTATAGACTTAGAACATAAACAAAAGTAGTAGCAAACAGATTTTAATTCGTTATAAAAAGCTTGAAAAAAAGAAAAATTCTTTATTGTGATCTGATAGTAAAAATAATACCTCTATATATCTATGATACTTAATCATTCTTCAACTAATATTATAATAATGAAATTCCAATAAGAACGGTTTGTTATGATATGTAACAGTAATATTACATGACATTTTGTATACGATGTATATCTTTTTTCTTCTCTGTTATACATATTAAAATATACGAAAATTTTTTGCAATAAAATAAAAACAAGTTTATGAAATTTTTAGGTAAGTCTTTAGATCTAACTCGCATGTGACTTTTTAATTATTCGACTTAATCAAGAACTTCATGAATTTGTTCCTGTATTTCTTGTTTGTTTTTGTTCTATCGACACCACTTTTTCTATGCCTTAATATGTATATACACCTGTATATTAGAAAAAATGTGAGAAAAAAACTGATAAGTCCGAGTTTGCTTGAATACGAATACTAATTAGAGATTTATTGGATCAATTTTCTAACCTGTTTTTAGTGACCAGAATCACCGGAAAAAAACAGTTACTGACACTGGGATTAAGAGAAAAAAATTGTACCCACCGGAACTAAAGATTATAGTTAAATATTCTATAATTTTAAGCGAATGGTCTTATAAATTATATCAATTAGAACATAATTCAAAAGAGACAATAAATTCTCGAAGAGTTTTCTCTTGATCGAGATCAAGACTTAAAAAATTGGTATTAGACATCTCCAATACTGATTCTTAGAGTAAGTACTCGTATTTGCCCAACTCTGAAAGAAAACATCAGGAAGATGATAAACATCGAAGACAATATGTGATCTAATATTAACATCACATATCAGAATAAACAGCTCCTGTCGAAATTTTATTATTATGATATTAGTTCAAAAAATATGATCAAATATTAGAGAAATTTAGAGCATGGTATTTACTATCAGAATATATATAAAGAAAAAAAATTTCCTTAAGTTTATGATAAGGAAATAAAATCCCTTCGTCACTAGTTTTAATATGCTGTAAGTAAATTATTCGTATGAGTTAAAATTAATCAATTTAATATTAAATAACTTACCTAAATTAATACACATAATAAAATTTTCTTGTCTAGCATCAATTTCTGCTTTTAAACTTTGATGATTATTCATTAATAAATCAACTCCACTAACATCATGTGGTTTATCACTATTATTCATTTGTCTAATCATACCATCCATCCATAAATGTAAATCTCTAGCTAAACCAAAAAATTTATGTAAATCTTCATAATCATTTAATAAACGTTTTCGTTGATCAACAAATTGTTGTAATAATTTCCATTGTGTTAAAACATCAAATTCTTTTTGTTTTATTTCAGTTTCTTTTTCACCAGCATAACGTCCATTTAAACGTTTTGCTTCTTGTTGTATACGTTGTATATCTTGTGCTAATAAAACTAATTCTGTTTCAAATTGTTGATGTTTACGTAATAATTGTTGAACACTTTGTTGATCACGACCAATTTCATCTGGTATAGAATTTTTACGTTCTTGCATAGTTAATAAAATTTCTTTACAATCATGTAAAAATTTTTGTAATTCCCATGATGCTTTTAATGATTGTAAACGTGTTTCAATTAATTCTAATAAATCTTGATATGATTCATTTAATGAATCTTTTAATTCAGCTATTTGTGCTGAATCAATATGACCATTTGATATTAAATGATCAATCATATTATTTGCATATTGTAAACGTTCATTACCTATTTGTTGTGTTTCTTGTTCAAATGCTACAAAACGATCAAGTAACATAGATACATGTTCAAAATCTTGTCCAAGTTCATGTGAACCAGCTATTAATTCTCTATCAGATATCCATTGTTCCAGATCATCAATTTCTTTACGTAAACGATAAAGTTTTAATGTTTCATCTAATTGTTGTCGTCGTTCAATAGATAAATCTTTTAAGCTACCATATAATTTATCTAATTGTATTTGTCGTTTATTAATTAAATCATTATGTTCACGAACAAAATCATCAGATAAATTCGATTGATTTAAATTATCTAAGAAATAAATGACATTTATTTGGACAAAAGAAAAAATGTCGAAGGAAAAAAATATCGAAAATAGTTTATCTTGAGATTCTCAATCAGTAAGATGAAGGTATTTTATTGCATACGAAAAAAGTAAAAGACATAGAACTACACCGACAAGAGATAATAGGAATGTAGGCATGAAGAGTAGAGCCTATCCTATCGGGTCCGAACCTTCTCGGCTCCATTTCCGTGTTTGAAAACTCTGTGTCTATCAAGTCCGAATCTGACCCGGCAATTACTACTCTAAAAGTAGCAGTAAATTATTACCCTATTATTACACGATTACCGCCAAGATGCCCTGTGAGATGCGTCGGGCATGCTAATCATTGAATCTAATTAAGAGCAAAAGAAGTATCACGTGTCTTCTGAGCGACTATCAAGACGGATTAAAAAAATTATTAAGAACATTATTATTAGTTTCGTTCTTTCCTTTCCCTTATTTGTTTATTAAATATATATACTAGTTTTACTGATGTATATGCACGATCTTTCTTATATAAGGAATGAAACAAACGAAAACATATATATGTATACGAAGAGCAAAACAAGATAGTGTATATGTCGAACGTGAAAGTTGAAGTCAACTATTCACGAATTCTATGAATATTCACTGCAGATAAAATGTTTGCCCTGTCTAACTGATCTTTCATATCAGCGTCGCGGTGTGGGAGTATGTAGAGCCCGATGATGAGCCGCGACGCATGTGCATCTCTGTGTACGCAATAAATCAACTGGGTCATGTTTGGATCATGATAACTACAACTTTTTCGAAGCTACTGGACTATACTACCCGTTCGGGTGTGGGTGTTACTTCGCCGTAATCACTCAAGCATTTTATGTGCTCCCTGTAGCATCCCAAGTAAGCTTTATAGTATTCCTTGAGATACTTGTAGCATTTTAGTATGAAAGCGGATAGAGTTCGGAGCCGAAAAAGTTTAATCAATGCGGTTCAGATCGAGGTTCAGGTTCGTTATCAGTTTCAGATCCTAATCCTGACTCAAAATTTTTGTATCCAACGAGCTCTACTGTGGAGTGTGGACATGGAAGTCCGTATGGAGTGTACATGTGGATATCAGTCTTCTGTTTACACACACACACTTATCGCCGCACATCTCACCCTTAACAGAGTCATTTGATGACATCAGCAATATTTTCGACATTTTCTCATTCAATATTTTTTCCTTCGACGAAATTGATACATACCTAATAAATTTCTCGCACGTTCAGTTAATTCATGAAGTATATTCCTATAATTTTCAATTGTTTGATCAATTGTTTGTTGTTTACGTATAAATGTTTGTGTTGCTAATTCATCTTTACCACGTTCTTCACTCATCATATATAATTCTTGTTCACCTAACCATGCTTCAGCGTCACTTAAATCATAATAATATTGATAAAGATTTTCTAATAATTCAATTTGTTGTCGTCGTTGTTTTATTGTTTCTTTTAAATCACTATAATTAAATGTTAATTGTTCTAGACTTTCTTGAAATTCATTTGCACGTGATGGATAATCATGACTAACACGTATACATTCATTATTTAAATGTTCTAATAAACGTTGTTCATGATTTTCAATTTCTTTTAATAATGATTCATTTTTACGTTTTAATAATTTAATATTCATTAATGTTTGTTGTTTATTATTAAATATTAAATCAGAATATGTTTGTAATAAATGACGTTTTTCACTTAACCATATTTGTTCATCTTCAATATCACGTATATATTGATGTAAATGTTTTTGTTGTTCTAAACGTAATTTTTTTTGTTCTAATGGTAATAAAAGTTTTGAAAATTTTTCTTCAACTTGTAAACGTTTAGTATCAATTTCTTCAGATTTTTCTGGTTCTAATTGTTTTAATTTTTCAGCTTGTATACGTAATTCATCAACTTGTTCCTGACGTTTTAATAATTCTTCTTCAATAGTTGTTTGTTTAAGCAATAAAAGATTTGTTGCTGTTAAATTATTTTCTAATGGTTCAAGTGTTGTTGGTGTTGTTGTTGAAATTTGTCCATCAGTTAAATCTGTTGATGTTGGTTCACCAGCATATAAATGTTTTTCAATATTAAACATAAATTCATCAAGATTAGTTATTGATTGTTGAAATAATTTTGAACGATTAGCATCAAATAAACGTTCACCTTTTTCACGTGTTATTTCTTCTAATTTAATCCATGAATCATCTAATTCGTCAATACGTTGATCAATTAAATTTGCATCAATTTGTTGATAATTTTCAGATTTTAATTGTTCAGCATTTTGTTTTAATGAAAGTAAACGTTCTTTATTTGAATTAATTTCAGCTTGAAATGCTTGATGACGAAGATATTTTGTATGAATATTGGCTGTATCACGATATGTATCATCTTCTGCTTGTAATGTTTTCATATCAAGCCATTCTTTAAGATCATCACAATCTTGAATAAATTGAAAATATTTAAGTGATTCTTGAAGTTTATTATTCATTTCAAGTGCTAATTGACGATTAGCACCATAACGATCATTTATAATTGAAGCACGTGATAGAATACGATCACCTAAAAATATATAGTTTTTTTTTTTTTTTTATTTAAGAAGAAATTTTAGTTAATTATATTTATCTAGGAATTATTCAAAATAATGATTTGTATAAACGATTTTTATTTATGTTCATGACTAGTAAGAAGAGGAAAAGGTCCAAACGCAGAGTTCTTTCTTGAGCTTTCCATACACATTAATTAACCGCAAGAACAAGTTTATATCATAACAAAATCTTCATGCTATCAGACAATGGGATACGAGACAAATAGTTGTTAGTTGTACATTCTTTTTTCTTAGAACTATTAAATGAATAGGAAAATTCGTTAATCGGCATATGAAGCAAATGCTCTAGTTTTGAGTTAAATTGAAATTCATTATGAGCATAATTACTATCACTAACAGAACTATAGATGCAAGCTGATATGTTGGTCACAGCGACAACGGCTACACAAACACCGAAGGCTTCGGTGGCGGCGTGACCGGACCGTCTGACAGCGGTTCAGCTAATCGGCATGCGCCTCTAAAAGTAACAGCTAATGCTAATTCTGAGATAAATATTGCTTGATTTTTCATTGGTTAAAATATGTTTCGAAAAAATCTAAAATATCTCTTGTTGTTTAAGGATGTTGCTCATTACTAAAAGGCACAATATAATAGAAATTATTATTATTTTTGAATATTTCGTTAGAAAGCATTTTCAATGAAGATTTTTCTGCAAAATTCTTTTAATCTTTAAAAAACTGAGGCGACATTTTCTTTACGACATTTGTATAAGCTGTTATATTAATTAAATTTCGTACACTTCAAAGAATAATTCTCTTTACGAGAAGTATATTCACTACATAGGAATCAATCGAATTTTGATAAAATAAAAATGTTAACATAAAATTTCTATTCAATAATTTATTTATAAATAAAATCTTACCTAAATAATGATTTTCTTGACATAAACGTTGAGCAAATGAACAAACACCTTGTATTTTATCTTCATTAGCTGACATTGTTGTAAAAAAATCTTCATGTTTTTTAATTAAAATTTCAACATCATCAAATGATTTCGGTTGTTGTTCACGTTCACGTGCTAAATAAGCTTCTTGATGATTTAATAAAATTTCAGCTTGATTTGAATCTCTAACAAACATTTGATATTGCATAGCTTCAGTTAACATATTCTTTTTCTGATGCCACATTTGATCAAGTTCATTCCAACCATCATCAAGTGCATTTAAACGTTCACGTAAAAATATATATTGTGGATCTGTTGTATCAGCATCACGTATAACACAATGACCATATTCTTTCATTTGAGCATAATCAGGACCATAACGATCAATTTCTTCTTTTATTGTTTGATGTTGATTTAATAATTGTTCAGCTTCACTTAATGTATTTGGTATATCTTCACTAGCAACTAATGTTTGTGTACGTGTTAACCATGCTGAAAAATGATCAAGATCACGAAGAAACTTTTGTAATTCAGCTGCTTCACCCATTGATTCTTCACGACGACGTAAAATTTCTTTTAATTCATACCAAACTGAATTTATTTGATTAACTTTATTATGAATATCTTTTGCTTCATCAGGATGATCTTTTTCAAGTTTTGATGCTTCTAATTCAAGTTGATCAAGTTTAGATTGTATAGCAGCCATATCACGTTCTAAACCACTTAAACGACGTTGCATTGTCATAACACCACCAAGATCACGACCTTGAATAACAAAAAAAAAGTCAATTTTTTATTTTCTTAGTAAAAAAACAAAGTCTACGAATTAAAACAAATGTAATTCGACTGTAATCTTTTATGGAATTAGTTTAAAGATAAATAATTTTAATCGATTGATTTCTACAGAATAGATATAAATTGAGGTCGAAACGTTAACAATTGATATGATATATTTTTTTAGTACCGTGTTTTGTTTAGANACAACATTAACACTACTAAGATCTTACTTTTGCAGTCTTCAAACTTTTCGACATTTTTCCTTTCGACATTTTTCCTTTTCGACATTTTTACTTTCGACATTTTTACTTTTCGACATTTTTCCTTTCGACATTTTTCCTTTCGACATTTTTACTTTTCGACATTTTTCCTTTCGACATTTTTCCTTTCGACATTTTTTTTTTCGACATTAATCAGGCATACCTCAGAGACCATCATCAGGAAGGACAAAATAATTATCCTTGATAATATTTTTTCAGAAAACATTATATGAAATCGTTTATTAAATACAAACATATGTTCTCGATAAGTTTCATTAGAACTTATGTATGTAATACTCATTCTAATTCATCATCACTCAGTACGAACTCTTTCAATTTCGAGAACACTCAACACTTCCTATCAAATTATAAGTATATCTATCGAATAATACAAAAGAAAATGAATGTCGACCTTCTGCTAAAAGGTGATGAAACACTTCGACTGATGATGTATTCAGTCACAAAGAATCGCTATTTTCGTTGACAGATATATTTTCTTTTGATATAAATATGCTAATAAGGTCATGTTACCCATATAAAAAAAAACGTAAGATATTGGACAAAAAGAATTATTTCTTCATTGAGAATAAATTAAAATGACACTAGTTTTTTTTACTTGAATATAATCTGATGTTTATACGCGAATAATATTCTTTAGAAATGATATTAAAAAAGAACGGTATGAACACTGCAGATAAACATAATCAAAATTTTTCATTAAGTTACTAACCTATTTCTTTGCCAACCTCAATCTATATGCCTTGCCTGACCCTGAGGCTAGGTCAAGAAAAAGTACTCTGTGGTAGTCTCTGATATCTTTCGTTTGTTTTCTTTTTCTAGAAATAATGATTAATATATTACCTAAATAATGATTTTCTTGACATAAACGTTGAGCAAATGAACAAACTCCTTGAATTTTATCTTCATTAGCTGTCATTGTTGTAACAAAATCTTCATGTTTTTTAAGTAAATATTCAACATCATCAAAAGATTTTGGTTTTTGTTCTTTTTCTCTAGCTAAATAAGCTTCTTGATGATTTAATAATATTTCAGCTTGATTTGAATCTCTAACAAACATTTGATATTGCATAGCTTCAGTTAACATATTCTTTTTTTGATGCCACATTTGATCAAGTTCATTCCAACCATCATCAAGTGCATTTAAACGTTCACGTAAAAATATATATTGTGGATCGGTTGTATCAGCATCGCGTATAACACGATGACCATATTCTTTCATTTGTGCATAATCAGGACCATAGCGATCAATTTCTTCTTTTATTGTTTGATGTTGATTTAATAATTGTTCAGCTTCATTTAATGTATTTGGTATATCTTCACTAGCAACAGATGTTTGTGTACGTGTTAACCATGCTGAAAAATGATCGAGATCACGAAGAAATTTTTGTAATTCAGCTGCTTCACCCATTGATTCTTCTCGACGACGTAATATTTCTTTTAATTCATACCAAACAGAATTAATTTGTCCAACTTTTGTACGAATATCATGTGCTTCATCAGGATGGTCTTTTTCTAATGTTGATGCTTCAGTTTCTAATTGATCAAGTTTAGATTGTATTGCAGCCATATCACGTTCTAAACCACTTAAACGACGTTGCATTGTCATTACACCACCTAGATCACGACCTAAAATGATGATAATAATAATAATAATAATAATAATAATAATAAATTAAACATTTTGTCGGAATGCATTCTGTTGAACAAAACTTGAGACAACTAATAGGTTTTTGTTCAGTGACTAGCTTCCAATATTTTTGCATTTTATGTTTATTTATTTCAAATAATTATAATTATTTGATTTTAATTTTAATATAAAATGCTTTTAGGTAGATTCGAACAGAATATAATTTCTTATTAGAATATTTACCTAAATCTTCTGTCGATTGTACAATACGAATTTTATCTTGTATCCATGATATTGTTTCATTACATTCAATATGAAATGTTTGTACACCAAATGTTGAACTTAAATCATCACGTTTTTTATCAACTAAACGTCTTAATTGTGCCCAATTATGATTTAATTTATTAATACGATCTAATATTTCTTGTGAATTAGGATGATCATTTTGTACTAATGTACGTGCTTGATGACCAACAATAGCAACTTTTGATGCTGTTGAATTCATATCACGTTCAAAACCATCAAAACGATGTTTAATTACTTCTAATTCTTCAATATCATTAACTTGTGTTGGATCTAATGTTGCTAAAAATCTTTCTTTTTCTTCAATCCATGCTTCAACATTATCAGCATCAGCTAATAAACGAAATAATGATATAGCATCATGTAATTTTTGTTTACGTAATTTAGATAATTCAAGTAATTCTGTATAACGACGTTCAATTGATTGAAGACGTTGTTGAACATCAGGTGAATTTTGTTTTTCAATAGTTAATGTTTGTAGATTAGATGTTTTTAAATTATCAATTGTTTGACGATAATTATCTAATATATCTTGTGTATCTTTATGTTTTTTTAATAATGCTTGAGCTGATAATTCATCACGACCAATATCTTCACTTGATACAAGTTTTAACATATCAAGCATCCATGTATCAATATCATCAGCATCAGAAAAAAATTGATAATAATTATGTGTTTGTTTTAAATTGTCAGCACGATTTGATGATATTTGTATTAAATTATCCCATTTTAATTTAAGCATATCTAAACGTTCATTAATTTTTCTTGATGCAAAATGTCCTTGTTTTACCATTGATTCACCTTGATTTGTTAAAGCTTCAAGTTGACCATATCTAATCATAAATAGAAAAATTTTTATTATTAAGATATAAACTTTTGTAAAAAAAAAATCAATTAAGAAATAATTGAAAACTTAGACTACATGGAATATGACAGTTAGGAAGTTGTGAATTCACTTTATTGTGGATGCAGACCTGAGAAAAGTTAAAGTTCTAGACACGGATCCTGCAAAAGACTCAACAAGTTCATACTCGGACCTAGTCGAACCATAGTTTCATATTCTCAATTAAATTTTCTGATCGAAATTGGATAGTAGCTCTCAAAAATACAGGCTAGTCTTTTTTTGTATTCGATGACTAGTGCATCATATCCATTTTTCTAACGACTAAAGTGCGGTGGATCTAAAAATTTTCAAAGTCGAGCCCAATCGATTGGTTCCATGTCCGGTCTACATTATTTTAATGCCCGTAAACGTGCTGCACTTTAAAATGATATATTTAGTTTGCAATATGAATATTTGTTTTTACCTTGCATTCATATCATTTTCAACTAATTTATGTTTTCCAAGTAAACTATCCGTTGTATTGACATCATGACCCATATCAGGTGATGTCATAGTTTGTTGTTTTTCATCAATCCATAATTCAGCATCACCAACATCAGAATAAAATTTTGATAAACCTTTAGCTTGTTCAAGTAAATCTCGACGTTTACGTGCTAATTCAATTAATTCTTCATAAGATTTTTGTAAATTATGTATACGTATTTCAATTTCTTCTGGTGTTGCTGGACGATAACCATCAATATTAGCATCAGGATTAAGATATTCATCAGCATCACTTATAGCACGTTTTAAACGTTCATCAATAATATATATATCAGCTTCAACTAATGAATGTCGTTGAAGAAGATCATCAGCTGACATAATATATTTTTCAATATCATCTGATTTTAATCGCCATTTTAAATCACTTATCCATTCAAATACATATTGCATTTCCTAAAATAAATAAATAAATAAATTTTAATCATTGAAAAACAAAAAAAAAAGAACAATTTTACTTGAAAAACACGTTGTAAATTATAAGCAAGTTCAAGACATTGTCGGCGTTTAGTAACTAAACTGATTAAATATTCCCAATGCATTTCAACATTTTTTTTTCTTGCTTCTATTGTTGCATAATCATGATAATCTTCTGTTCTAAGTTCATTTGCAATAGCCATTATATTTTGAAGACGTTCTTCAAATGCAGCTATATCAGTTTGAATAGCTTCTTGTTTTTTAAATGCTGCTTCAACCGAAGCTAAATCTGTACCAAATTGATCACTAATAACAAAGAAAAATTATTAATTTATCTTTGTTGAACTTGCTAATGTAAACTATAGTTAAAAGTACTTTTACACATTTATTACACGTAATCAAAAGAAGAAAAGATCAGACTTAGGCTTGTAACGTTCATTTACTTCTGAAAAATCCAGCTAACGATTTATCTTTTTTTTTTGCATGACTATATTTTTGTTTGCCTCTTGCACTATTCATCATGTCCGATTGACAATTTACAAATATATAAAGATTTTCACACTGAGTTTTTCTATTTGATGAAATTTTCAATACATCAAGCAATCGTCTCAATTATCATGGAATTTTAGTTTGATGTTTATTAGGACTAGATCAGCTCCTTCAGTTTAGATTAGAGAAATCTAATAGCGTAGATTTGACTATCTTGAATTCATTCTAGTCTCTTTAAAAAAAAAATCAGCCATTGTAACAAATATATCGCAAGCTGTCAATCAAATGATAATTGATAGCCATTATCAATGTCACATTCCGGATAAATCTACACTTCAAATGCAATACATAATGAATATTATCATTATCTAGTTACATTTCCGATTACGAACTAAACATCGGAATTCGGATTCAATCCCTTCATTATATTACATTTTTTTTGTTCAAGTGTGAGAATCATTTACAATAGAACGATTTCAATGGTTGATTATCATTTCATTTCTTATTTTACGTAGAAGTCTGTAATAGTAATACGAAAGCCATGTTCTTTTTTTTTTTCTTAACATACAACATAGTGAAACCTCTCTATAGTATGGGCACCATCACGATCACCTTTTTCACTCGCTTTTCGGCTGAATAATGTTATCTTTTTCTTTGTTTCAGTTTTTTTCTAGTCACAGGCAAATCAACACACGTTAACACAAACGCTACGAGATTTTATATTGAGTAGTTTTACGGTTGTGTAACATCGTCTTTTTTTTTCTTTTAAATATGCACGGCTAGACCATTCCCTTTTTTATGTATTACGTGATTGTTTATCATCATTTAATCTTTTTCTCGTTCTACACGTGAGTGAAAAGAGCATATGCTACTTGCGCTACAGAGATTGTTATGGCTCATAGGACCAGAAATAAGCACCCACTGTTCAGCATATGGAAGTGCTTATTATGAAACATTTTACTTTACATTAAGTATTATTACAAAAAGATTCATTAGTTCGAGTATTTCGAAGTCTTGTAGCACTTATTCATTAGAATTCTGTCGTCAAACATTTGTTCCCACTCGGAAATAGCGATTATGGATACTCGAACTATTTTTTTGACCGTTTCCGGTTCTTGAAGACGATAAGACTAATTACACTGCAATTTTTATCACAGAAAGAGAACCACCAATAAGAAGACATACGTTCAAGAAAAATATTTTGAAGTGAATATTTTTATTGGGAAACCTTCACTATTCATAGAGGCACGTTCTTGTGGTTTACAATCCCCATCAAGAGTTCGTCAGTTCCAAAAAACCTAGAACTGAAACAGTTAAATCATCATTTTTTTATTCATGAGATAAAAGATTTTACTATGTATAATTTCGTTCTGTTTATGTACGGAAATATGCGGCGCGTTTAATCTCAACAATTCAATAGTCAAAATATATTTAAATTTTTTTCATGTATTTGATGATTTAACTCTTCCCGAGCCTTGGCTTTCAGACTTCCGTAAGTTCAGGTAAGAAAATCAAAAACAAAAATGATCAATTTTTTCTTATTAGTAAAACTTTCAGCCTGATTGAACAAATTTACATAGATGTCTTAAGCAACCAGGATGTAAAAAATCAAAGTTTTTCAGTAAAATTTCACTTCAAATTCGTTTTTTTTTCTTTTTAAATGCATATCTTCTTATTTATAATTTTATTTCATTTTCGTAATTACCTTGCAACAAGTTTTTCACTATCAGTTAACCATTTTTCTCTTAAACCAGCTTTACGATTAAATTTAGTTGCTAATTGTTCTAAACGTTCTTGTCGAAGAATTTCTTCACGTAAAGCTAATTCTCGTTCATGTTCAGCACGTTCAAGATTTTCCCATGCACGATTTATATCTGATATCATTTTTCCTTCACGTGGTTGATATGGTATTTGTTGATTAGCACGTTCTTTACTTTGTAATGTAAATAATAATACTTCTAAATTTCCTTTTTCAGCAAATCGTGCAGGTTTATCCATAACACGATAACGATTAAATTCAACAAGTTTTTCATGTACACGTATAAGTGAATTTGGAAATTGTCGATCATTTAATGTACGTATGGTTTGTTCAATCCATATTAATAAATCCGATACTAAACGTTCATATTCATTAGCCATTTTTTCTGAATCAAGTGCTGAACCAATAACTTTAGCTAAACGTCTACCTTGTACACTATCATTTTTCATTTTGGAAAAATAATGATATAATGTAACAATATATGTTATGATAGATTTTTCATCAACATATTCAACATTAACATCTTCAGGATCAAGTAAACGACTTATACCTAAACGTTTTTCACATATATCAAATGCTAATTGTAAATTATGATTTGCATTATCTTTTGTTAATGTTTTAAATTGTGGTATAAGATCAGGACGATGTTTGTGTATTAAGGCACAAAATGCTAAACCATCTTTCCATGATGTTGTAAAATTTCGTACATTTACATTTGAATAATCGGCTGTTTTCATTTGACACCAAAGTAATAAAGCATCTTTAGCTGATTTTGTTTCTGTTGATTCATATTCTTCAATTGTTATATCTTGAATTTGAAAACGAAGTATTATTGTCCATATAAGACCAAGAATTAAAGAAGAATTTCCATCAACAATATCATGAGCACTAAATAAAATAAATATTTTATATTAATTTTATTTTACATCATAAAACAAAGAAACACTAAAAATATTTTGCACTATTCCGTTTTGGTATATATCATCAAGACGTGCGGTTTTCACTATTCCAGAAAGAAAATACAGGAATATCAAAATTTCATTGATCAATCTCAGGTGAGTTTTTGCTAGAGATTTTCAAAAACGATATTCTGTTGACATTTCTTTGTCGATTTACACTTAGAATATGGACGCGTCGATAGAAAAAATTCTTCTCTTTCTGTCACTGCAAGGCTGACATTCATAGATAATTCCGGTCAAGAGTTACAAGGCTTTTCTTAAGACTAACGATTTCAGCTAATTGACCTGTTATCACTTGGAAAAGTAGCTAGGAAATGGTAATTCATCATGTGGAGTTGAAAGGTAACATTTGTTTTTTACATTTGACACTGTTATCTCAATATGTCCGAAATGATGACTCCTTCCTTACATATAGAGGCTGATTATGGAATCTCAGAAATACTCAGATAACAGTGTCAGATGTGTTTGCATCTAAAAACAAATCTTATCGTTTGACTCAGCCCAGTGAATTATCTTTGCCTGGTCGATTTTCTGGATGATCATAGATAAATTGGCTGAAATTAAGAATCTCGGGAAAAGCTTCACAACTCTCGAATGGAACAAGCTAAGAATGTCGGTCTCATGTAGATTAAAAGAGAAATAATTTCAGAACATCATTTTTGAAAATCTCTACCAAGAACTCATCTAAATTGTCAATTGCTGACCACTTCCGTTTTGATTTTATTTCATCGTATCTTTACTTACTAATTTCATAGTCTAATCATAACATATTATGATGAATTTTTAAAGAAGGAAATACTATTTTCTTTTGCCTTTTCACGATACTATATAAGTATCATTATAAACCACAAATATCATGGTCTCTATTGTTATGGAATTCAATGGAAAGGTTTTGTCTATTGATGTAATCATAGTAACTTTAAAAAGTAATATATTCATTATTTTTATTCACTGAACTGAATCATGCATTGATTCGTGTGTATTTCTTTTATACTGAAGATTAGATATTTTTTTTTTGCTTCACTGTCATTCAAACAGATAAAGGTATCTTCTGCATTCTCGATTTCCTGCATACGTGACAGCTCAGTAAATATCATTTTATATATGCATTGTAATCTATCTTTCTACTTCAGAATCAAACTGATTTTTAATCTATACCATTTCAAGAAATGACAAAGTACAATCTAACATTGGAAACTATTAATGATTACCAGGTGTAAAAACATATGGAAAGTCAACATGTTCTAAATATTCATCATCTATGTCGAAACTGTATATATACATAGATATATGTACTATGACATTTTAGTATAAAACAGTACTATCCATTCTTTTGTAAGTAAAAACTTCCGAAGGTAGAAAAAAAAAAGAAACTCTCAATCTTATGAATTTCGAGTATTATCTATTCTTAATACATACCCAATATTTTCTAAATGAACATGTTGTTCTTGTAAAAACATAATAGCTTTATCAACATTTTCTAAACAATGTATACGCATTTTTCCTCGAGTTGCTTTTGGTAAACGTTCTCCACTTAAAATTTCTAAAAGACGAATTAAATTTCGTCCATCACCTAAATCAGTATATAAATCAGTAATACGACAACCAACACGAGTTAAATGTGAATTAACCCATTTTGTAAATGTTTTCTTTTGTACATATCCACGTTCATCAGCTAAAACTTGTATACGTGTACGTTCGAACATACGCGCTGATGAATTACATTCATCTTGACCAGCTAAATCAAAATCAGCTGTTAATTGTTCAATATTAAATTGAATTTGATCTTGTTGAGTATTATGACCATTTGTTTGAGTATGATGAATACTATTAGCTGTTGCTGACGACATGCCCAAACTAAATATATGAACATAAAATATTCTTATAACAATTTATATAGTAATAAAAAGAAAAATAAAGTGTATATGTCCAATAAAGAGTTAATTATGTTCATTATGTGTTCTCGGACAGACAACTTAATAGATCATTTGGATTTTTTTGTTTCGCTTCAAAAATTATTCATAAAATAACAATGTTGTATAATTCTCATGAGAAATTACGATGCATTTTTTTTTCTCTCTTTAACTAATCAATAAAGACTTTTGTTTGATGTGTGTCTTTGTGCTTACTAAGCTTGCTGTTGATGGTAGGACGCTGTATCGACCATTGCCGTTGTTGCTGTCTCTATTACGTTCTCAGTTTACTACTAAACATCTAACAATAAATTCTTTGCCTATGTATAGAAGTGATGGTGTGGGTGTGTGTATATTCTCCTTCTTTCTTTCTTTCTTTTTTTTCTTTCTATGTCGAGTGTATGATTTTTGTTCGCTGGTCCATCGGTCAGACGGTTATCTTAGGGGGTAAAAGGAAAAGAATATCGCTCACATTTTTATCTATCCTTGTTTCTACTTGCAGATGTGGTTATATGTTGGTAATCATTTGCGTTCATCGCCGTTCTTCTATTCTTTCTTTCCGTTCAAAGGTGGTGGTATAATGCCTTTCTTCCCGCTTTCGTCTCGTTTGTGTTCTGTTTCTTATTTCTTTTTTTTTTTTTTCTTTTTTTTTTCTCCTCTCGACCGTTTGCTCTCATTAGCTGAGAAGAATACTAAATGGCACCACTGCATTATTATTATTATAACAACCGAACGACATATTTCTTTTTGTTATGCCGTGGTTTTTTTTTCTCTTTTTTCTGTCGTTTTTTTTCTTCTTCTTATAATAGTCGTTAAACGTTCTTTAATGCGAACAATAACTTAAAGAAAAGAAAAGAAAAGAAAAGACAACCGCAAGGGTAGTGGTTTACGATACTCAATGTTTTAAAGCGTTCGGAATTTTTATCTCTCATTACATATAATCTAATTAAGAAATGCTGTCTATTATTTTTCCTAGTAAATTGATATCAAGGGAATCAGATACTAGCAGCAATTGATTAAATGATCTATTCTTTTTTTCGACTTATCTTCTATTATTTGTTGTAGCTAATGAATAAATACTAAGTGAAGATGTTCTTGAGAAAAAAAAAAAAAAAAAAACTGAAGTATTTGATTGAATGATTCTCATTATAAATGAATTGTTTCACGTTGAAAGACTAAACATAATGGAATACAGATATATCTATTTATCAACATTCAATCAATCGCCGACTATGTTTTAATGTAACCGTTTGACCTTTTCTTTAGGCGAAAGAATTCTTACCTTATTGACATATTGAACAGCACTGCTAGAAGTATATCGTTATTAGATTTAAAAAAAACTCAAAAAGAGATTTAAAAAAATCTAAAATAATCAATTAGAAAAACGTTTAAAAAACCATTAGTTGTATCAAGACGGGATGCTAGAAAAACGAAGCACTCAAAACGATTGACAAAAACAAATAAACAAACATTTTGTGGCTTCTTTCTTTATTTAGTTGATTTGTCAATAAAAAAACATCCATATTAATAAAAAAAATTTTCTCATTTATTTATTTTTTTTTGACGTTTTTATAAATTTTCTTTCATAAATAAATATATTATTTTATGTTAACGCCATCTATAGTTTTTATTGGTTACAATTTTAAATCTAAATTTCTGTTTCTGTAATTCTTATTACATTCGAAAGAAAAATAAAGCAATTAACAATGGTTTTCCGTTGTGATTTATGTCGTATTGAAGTACCCGATGGTATGTTCAATGAATACTGATTATTAATTAAATCATTTCTTTCTTTTTAAGAACACGTTCTAGCCGATCATACAAAAGGTAAACGTCATCAAGCATTATTAAATGCTCGTGAACGTTTTGAAATTTCACAAAATTCAAGTATCTATATATCACGTATTAAACCTGAACATGATGAAAATATTCTTAAAGATTATTTTTCACGTTTTGGACAAATTAAAAATTGTTTTATTGATAAAGAAAAAGTTAGTATTAAGAATAATTTTTGTATATCGTTTAAAAATAAACTTCTTTTTCTTTTAAAGCATACTTATGCTATTGTTGAATATGAAAATATTGATTCAGCAAATAAATGTTTGGAACATTCAGATGAACATAAATTAAATGATGGTTCACGTTTAAAAGTTAAACAACGTAATCATCATGAATTTAAATCAAAACGAATGTTAATTAGTGAACAAGAATTTTTAAATATTAATAAAGAAAAAGAAATTGAACAACATGCGATTATGGTTCAAAAATTAAATAATCAATTAACAGTAAGAGAAAAATTAAAATTGATTTTAAATCATTTTTATTAAAATTTAGATTGACGAACAAGCAGAAACAATTGTTGAACAAGAAAAAATTACAGATGAATTATTCAAAATGAGAGAAGAATTTTTTAAAGAATTAGAAATAATGTTCATTAAATATTTTCCAGGTAAAAAAAAATAAATGTCATTTTTTTTAGAAATTCTTTTTTTTTTTTTTTGTTTTGCTATCGGTTACTTACAGAAGCAAAATTATGTTTAACTGGATCGATGGCAAATAGTTTAGCAACAAATTTATCTGATATGGATATTGTTCTTATTCTAAATGATACTTATATTGAAGCACAACATTTATCATCATCAAATAATAGTGGAGAATCAATGAATATCGATGAAAATAGTTGTAGTAATGATATAGATATGAATCAAAATAAGGTACATGAAATAAATTTTGTTTATTTATACTGTAAATTAAGCATTACGAGTATCTAATTCGAAAAATAAAATACTATTCATTCTCTATACTAACATATATATCGTAATGTAGGAAATGCCAAATAATTAACTAAATGACAATAATTATTACTAAACGTTATTTTTCCTGCTGTCAGTTATAAATATCTGGATATCAGTGTGTTTTCTTAATTATTACAAGACTATTTTCGTATTGAAGGAATACATATATATATATATATATATAAATAAGCAGAAAGACATGTATCCTAAAGTATAAACATAAATGTCAATTGTAATTAAGTTTAAGGTCCCTTTTGTCCACTGTCAGAAACCGATCTTGGATCAAGTATATTTAAATTGTATGAAATTTTCAGGACATATTGAGACTGTACTGAAAAGATTATGTTAAAATTTTCAACCTTATACCATGATGTTTTCGGGAGATATTAAATAAGCAATAGTCGAAAATAAATCATTTGGTAAATGAAAATTTTCAACAAAGTTCTCATGCTATTTATTTTATTTTATTTTATTTTTTTGTTTGAGAGATCATGTCAGATTGAAGTGCCTTTTTAAAAATTCTTACGTTTTATGCGAAAAAAAAAATTAAACCAACAGATAGTGCAATTTCACATGTTCTTTTAGACAAAAAATAAAAATAATCGGCTACAATAGAGTGATCCATTGAGAATCATGGAATGCACAATTAGAAAAGCATAAACAGAGAAAAAAAAAAGGTTTGTTGCTATTTCTGAAACAAGCATATTGTTCAAGCAGAAGGTGATGGAAATCATCGAAAATTTTTGAAAAAAAGCAATTGAGAGGGAAACGGTAAAAAGTTCAGTTTTGAAATCTGTCGAAGTCTTATTAGATCCTGAGAAGTTATTTGGAGTCAATGAGCTATATCTTTTAGTATAAGTTGAAGTCTGTTGTTTCCTCTCGAAATCGACGAGCCAAATAAAAAATCATGTTATTTGTGAAAAACCCGATATGGAAACAGCAAACTTAAAGAAACTTCAAATGATTCTGTAAAATTTCAAAAGACTTCACGAGATTTAACGACTGAAGTCTCTGGTGTTTCCTCCTCGGAAAGACATGACCTAATTCTATCCTAGCAGGAAAGCGACAAAGACTTTCGTCTTGAAAATTCTGTGAACTCTATCAAAGTCCTTTACAGTTCAGTAATATTAATTAGAGTCTCATGAAGTTTTCTGAAGTCTGCTGTTTTCCACTTGAACCTATCCTGCTATATAATCATCTTAATTTCAACAATTCTGACGGAAATGAACTTTGTCTTGAATGACGAAGGTCTTAATTTTTGTGTTGATTAAAAATTTTTAAAAAGATTATTTTTCTTTTTTTATTGTATTTATAAATAAACTAAAAATTTTCTCTATTCAATTAATTAGTTTAAACGAAATGCAAGTGATGAATCATCGAATCATTCATTATCACCACCACTTCAACCAAAATCTTGTTCAGTTGATGATCTTTTACAAATGTCTATCACTGATCGACTTGATTATATTCGTCGTTTACTTCGTTCTTATGCAGCTTATGTATGTCATGTACAACGTATTGCACAAGCTCGTTGTCCTGTAGTTCGATTTTGTCATAAGCAGCAAAAATTTTTTTGTGAATTATCCATTAATAATCAGTATGATTTTTTTCTGTTTTTTTTTGTTTTCATACATACTTAAACCTAATGTAAATTTCATTTTCATGTTTTTTTTAGTCTTGCAGTTGCTAATACTGATTTAATTCGATATTTTCTTGCATTTGAACCTAAATTACGTCCATTATTATATACAATTCGACTATGGCTGAAACAAAAAGATCTTCTTGGAAAAGGACATCGATTTAATACATATACAATTTTTTGGATGATTGTTTGTACATTACAATTAGATAATCAGCAATTGCCTAATGTTCAAACATTAACTGAATGTGCAAGTAAATGAGAAATCTTTGTTTTTTTGTTTTTTTTTTTTTTTTTTGATAAATATATATTCAAACTGATATTCATACTTTGCTTTAGCTCATAAACGACAATATGGTCCATGGAATTGTTCGGTTCCTGATATTAGTCAAATTGAAAGAAATATTTTAAATGTTTCTATAGGTAAATAAAGAAATAATTACGTTGATCTCATGTAATAGTTAATTGAAAATCATTTCCTAATACATTTATCGGTAATCCTAAAGATAAAAATAAGGAAAAGTTATGAGAAGATTTATGATTTGACTTCTAATTATAAGCAAAGATGAGAAAAGTCAGAAGCAAAAAATAAATTAAATTTTCCAAAAGTGAAAAGATTCATTTTCATTATCTTTCTCTTGAAAAATCTGTAAAACATGTTCTAGCACGGAAACCACCAGAAGTGGCACCCGCCGTTTGAATTTATATCGTACCTACAAGGACGTCTTACTAGGGAACCTTCCAAGGTGCGGGAGCGCTTTTCAATCGGGGTTTCGTGCATCTTGTAGCCCGTAGTGAGTTATGCTTACGGTAAAAAAAGTTCGGGTTTCTGGCTTGTTTCTGAGGAGATATCGAGCTCTTAGTGAATTTTCTCTATTGTATGCCTACAGTGGCAGCAAAGCTATTCTTTCGAATTTTGACCTGAAACTTTGCCTGCATAAAGGCCTCAGCTAGACTAGTTTGCATAAAAAATTTCAGAAGTTTTGAATAAAGTCTCTCTAAGATATGAAGCTTTGAAAAAAATGCATACTATATATATTATTGATGAAAAAGGGACTATACCTTGATAGTTTCATATCTTAGAGAGACTTTATTCAAAACTTCTGAAATTTTTTATGCAAACTAGTCTAGCTGAGGCCTTTATGCAGGCAAAGTTTCAGGTCAACATTTGAAAGTATAGCTTTGCTGCCACTGTAGGCGTACAATAAAGAAAATTCACTAAGAGCTCGATATCTCCTCAGAAACAAGCCAGAAACCCGAACTTTTTTTACCGTAAGCATAACTCACTACGGGCTACAAGATGCACGAAACCCCGATTGAAAAGCGCTCCCGCACCTTGGAAGGTTCCCTAGTTAGTGAGACTAGTAAAACCGTTTGGGTCTTTGTCGCCAAGTTAGAATTCTTTTACTGAATTTGCAATCCAGTTTTATGTATACATCCGCAAATCAAAAAAAAAACAACAACAAGTATTTCGACGTCAAATTTCGCTCATAAATAGATCGAATAACCAGTAGAATATCTTGAAAATTTCAGTTGGAAAGAGCCTTCTTTGATCGAAATAATAGAGTTTCCAAAAAAATAGTCGTTTGTCACACTCACGTACCACAAAACTCGAGTTTATTTTAAAATTCGATATCTCAGCAAAAAAATCATCACTTCGGCTAAAACTTTCAAGATATTCTGTAGATTATTAGATCTATATATGGGCAAACTTCTACTTTAAACACCCACACCTGGCCTTCAAAAGTTCAGACTGGTTTCATCTCTTAACTAGACTATAAATCATTAAGAAGAATTTTTTTGTATTTGTTTAGAAAATATGCTTCATAATTTTTTCTTATTTTATTCAACATTTAATGCAAATCAATATGAACTATCACCATGGTCAGGTAAACTTGAATGTAAAACTTCAAATACAATATCATTTTCAATATTTGACCCATTTGAACATAATCATAATTTAACATCAAATATTTCACAATCAAATTGGTTAAAATTTCAAGAAGAATGTTCTTTAGTAAATCAAATACTTGATGAATGTTCAAGAAAACGTCAACATAAATCATGGGGTTTATCATTAATATTAACACGTAAATCTTTACCGAAACAAAATTTTATTCATGAACAACAACAACAATATCATCATACACAATCAATACATACAATTGAATTAAATTTTTCAAATCAAATTAATGAAGAACAATTTGAAAAAACCATTCAATTTATACTTAAAGATATTTTATTATTCGAACAAATTAATTATGAAATTATACGAAAAAAACGACCAGCAAGTTCATTAATAATAGAGAATACAAATGTAACACCAAATAGTTTAGCTGAACAATTAGATGAAACATTATCATCGAAACGACGTCGAATCGATGATGATGAATATACATTAACACCAATAAAAGATATACCTTATTCAAAAGAAAAAATTTATTTTCAAGTAATTAATCAATATTTTAAAAGCAAGAAAAAAAACTTTTTTTTTTTCTGTTATTTATTTTAAGGTTATTTATCGAACATGGCAAGATCGACGTAAACTTAAACGACATATTGATGATGAAAATAAAAATCTTTCTATGTTTGATCGTGAAAAATTAATTAGTAATAAATTAAAAGAAGGTAATAATCATCATTTAGAAACACCGATATATTTATCAATAGAAATTAAATTATTACCAACAACAATTGATGAGAATCATAATAAAGCAAATATTCGTTTGGAATTGCAAACCAATGAACATCATCAATTATTTGCTGATCTATCACATTTTCTTAATCTTTATTTGCCGAAAATGCTTGAAATTTAATCAACAAATTAACAAAGACATTTATTTTCTTTTGATAAACATCGTTTTTCTAGTCATTCCGGTTTTTTTTATTATCTCTGTTTTGTTTTATCGTTAGAAAAAAAAAGAAGAAACTTAAGTTAGTAAAAACATTGAACAGTAGTTCTATCATTCATCGGACTACATACAACAATAATGAACAATTTTAAACGTTTGATATATCAGAGAAATATGTTGAAATGAATAGATCACTTTACTAAGTATAATTTGCAACGATCAAATCATTGATTTATTCAACTTATCTCTGAAAGATTAAGTTTTTTCTCATCTTCATTTTCTTCTTTGAACATTAAAATTCGTAATAAAATTGTAAGAGAATCTTGAAAAACTAAATCCAGAACATTGTTGAACTTCAAAGACTCGTATATGTCATGAAATCTCGAAATTTTATATATTGTCTTTTAAACGCAAGAACTGTTTCTTTCTGTGAGATTTTTTTAATTCTCATATTATGTATGGCTTATTTCATCTAAACAGAAATCAATAATACCAACATATATTAATTTGAAAAAAAAAGCTATTAGGACAAATCTTGCGAAGTTAAAATATGAAAAATAACGCAACTGCTGTTGCTAATTAAAGTGAGGTTATTTTATTCTATCTATTTTGGCATACATTCCTTCATCATCGCTTCTACTTAATCCTTCAGAAATGCAATAAGGAAGTTAGAGTGTTCGATGGTATGTCAACAACGTCAGTCGCAGCCTGTTGCGCGGATGTGGAAGAATGTAGTTAGAGCGTCTGTGATGAATGAGAGACGCCGCTAGGGATATCTATGATGTATGATTGATAAGATATTGTTATATGATGTTAAGTGTTGAAGAAGCACACGTTGCGTAATAAGCAACAGTATGAAAAATGTTGGCGTTGTGATAGACAATTTTAATGATTAGTTTATCAATAAAAGCTACGGAAAACAAAGCATCTTCTGCTAATTTTAAGTGTACTATTGTCAATTGTTGCTGTTAAGAAGTGATTAATTCTAAAGACAGCTGAAAAATTTCATGGAAAGACTTCAATTATATGTTGTCTATTGTTTTTAAAGGAGTGTTTAAGTATTGAGAAATTCTTTTTCAATTCTTTACAAATTTCATGTTTTCTGAAATAACAAGAAAACACAATATGTACGATATGTTTTGTTTTAAATTCAAATTTAAATCAATGAAAAAAATATCTGAAAAGAAATGTGTGGTTTTGAAGGCAATTGTAGAAAATGCACAATTGAGTGTGGATGTGAATTGGAATACTGGTTTCGGAGTGACTCTGAACCTGGATCTTGATGAGAGTATAAATTTGAATGAGCATTCGATTTTAGGTAGGAATGTTGGTCATCTCATCAAGACAACCGAACCGTTATAGTCCGCGTCAGTTCGTTATTTTCGTCAAACTCTCATCAAAGAATGTTATACTAGTTTCATAGTGGTGATCATGGTAGGTCTGAGATTTTGAATTAAAAATTAAATTGACCCAATCGCACGATTTTTCGATGGTAATTTTGAGAGAAATAACGAATTGATGCGGTCTATTATCTGGAATACTGACAACATTGAATATTTTGAAGGATTAGTCAGTTCTACTCTGTTCTACAGTGGTAAGGATGGATCAAATGTACCAGGAGATATACAAAATCTCACCATTGTTATTCAACGAATCCAACATTGCAAGGTTCACTGTGCAAAGACCATCCAAAAGTGTGCCTAAGTCAACATGTCAAACAAACGTTAGTTTATAGTAAAGAAATACTCATTGAACATTTTTTTTGATATTTCAGTATTTCAAGCACAATTACATCTACTGTTTATAAACGATCAGTCATTTAAAATTATAAAGTACAGGAAAGTAGTTTCTCTTATAGATTACCAAAGTTCAAAAAGATAGTTTATTTGAATTTGTAGCAGTCTATTTTGTCTACTGTTTAGAGGTCTCCTATAAACACGATTGAATGCGAATCTAGGACACGATACCCACACTTCGATCACGTCTCGATATGACAATAACAATATTCTGTTAAGATTTGAGATAGAGCCTTGCATTACACTTTTCAACACTCAGTATATATCTGAAACTAAAATTCAATTTTAAAGCACTCGTTACTAAAATGTGTTGTAAAACCATCGTGCAAATATACTCAGAATGATATCATCTCACAATGGACAACGTTCAGTTTTCTAACCTAAAGCATGTAGAAGAAAGATTCATTTAGACCACAACTATGTCTCATAATACATGTAAAAAAGCTGATGCAAACTCAGTTTGAAAACCCTATATTTCTTCGCAAGAAAGACTTTAAGTATGAATCTTCGATGTGCATGTTTTAGCGAATAAGAGTAAGTACTTGCTTCTACCGTGCACAACTTAAAAAGTGTTTGGTGAAAACATCTTAAAGAGCTGCATCTCGGCATGGCAACAGTTAACGTTAATCTATGGACTTTTTAGTCGAAAGAAAACGAATTAAAACGCGTAAAATGATATGAGCTTTCTCATGTTGTACGTTTAAGCCGTGGCTGTGGATGGATAGAACACAGATTTTCCATTAAGCCGGCGGCTCCCTGCAATTATAAATTCACCATAAGTAATCTATTTTTCGAACTACTTAGGTAAATATTTTGAGATGCATGAGCTGCAAATTTTTTCCTTCTATTGTACAGTTTCTTTTGTCAATACAGCATTTGACAATGGTTGCAATACGTTTCGCATGTTGACAATGAAAGTGAATGCGATATTTTGTCTGTTGCATGCTTATTAAAGATAATGTATTGATACATATATAACGTACACATATACTTTTTTATTCAATCTATATTTAAAAAGTTACGGTATATCTCACAGTGAATTGTTATCCAAGAGATTTTTCAAATTGTGCATCACCATGCAGCGTACAGATCAATCTTCTACTTTTTATGTGTGGACTGCGAGAAAATGGCAGTTTGGGTGCGACGTTTTCTTTACCGCATTCTTCTATTTAACTCATTGTCATCTTCACTGAATTAAAAGGGACTTCAAATGCTATATACATATGAGTAATTCTATAGACTAAGCAAGATGCTCTAAACTCTTACCCACCAATGCAAAAAGAATTCTATATGTGATACCGTGATCAATAAATTTGAATATATCGTAACACTTTCTATTAATAAAATCAGGAGGTCCTAATGCTATGAATCCGTTCGATGCAAGATAATTCTTTCTATATACGTATATAGTAACATTCTCTCGTCAGGTGTGCAAGCTTCTGTCATGTATCGATAAACACATTGCACTTCCTGACTCTCATAATCATCCAGTTTTTGAAAAACATTAGTGTCGTCTGTTTTCACATTTACATTGAATTGCAGAAGACCACGAACTCTGCTTGCAACACTGCCCACTGAAATGTTGACTGTTTCGTAGGAATCCATTAATACTTTTATAAACTGAAGAAACATTATTATTTGCGCATTACAGTTTTCTTCCACTTCAACATAAAATCACTTACCTGTCGCCTTCATACTTCTTTAACGATTACTGATTCAAAAAAATTCTCCTCATTAGCAGCACGTCAGATTGAATTCTTTTTCAAAAGCACACATCCATCAACTCGACATCATTTTAATAACTTTCAATGAAATTTCGATAGAAAATGATCCACATTCTTGTACGACTATGGATACTAGCAACAGCTGTTCATGCTACTCATTACAAAGTAAACCCAAAAGACAGTAAAACTAATGAATATCTCTACAATATTTCTTGCAGGGTGGCTTAATTAATTGGAAACCCGTTGATCCATATACCAATTCCAGTAGTGTTGAAGNATAGACACAGTTTCTAATCTAATTTTTTGTTGTCAACATGTTTAATTGTAATGTTCATCATACCAATTAAGCCACAAAATATTATTTTTCTCTTTCCTTGCGTCTCTCTCTCGACAATTGACCGCGCGCTCAAATAGTCGGTGTTCATCTTTCCTTTCGTTCATCTTTCCTGTGCTCTTCTTTCCGTGCTCTTCTTTCCGTGCTCTTCTTTCCTGTGCTCACCTTTCCGTCTCCCAGTTGAGATAGATGTGGATACTCAATGATTGATAAATGTTGATTGTGATCTAAATTTCGAGATTGTTTATCCTTTTGTGGTTTTTTATTAATTACATCTAATTTTTTCATAAATGGAAATGATTGAGAAATTTGAAAAAAGAATTCATGTTCAAAAGGTCGTTCATCAAATAATGATATTTCACGAATATATTTAAATATTCCACCTGGAAAATTATTTGTTATTTTATGATACTCTTTCCATTCATATGGATATGAATAAATATGACATTGACCTCGTTGAACCTTGGAAAAATAATCAACACAAGAAATAATTTGATTATTTTGAAAGCCATTGAATGTATATTGAATATCTTCATTCGACAGTAAATTAATTTGATTATGAAGACGAATAGATGAGTGAATATTAAACGTAAATTTATTTAATTGTGGCATATGATTAAGAATATTTCTTTTCAAATTATTGCCATCAATAAATGTCCTCTGACAAACTATAAGATATAAATGAAGGTTTTCTAAATTTAACATTCGATGTAAAAGTGGAACAATTAATTCATCATAAAAACTTGTATCTACATCACAGTATAATGAAAAGCACTTTAAATTAGGTAAATTTTCCTAAAAAACAAAGAATACATAGAGCTTCATTTGAATAAATTAAATATTAATCGAAGCAATCTACCGTATTATCGATTGTTGGACTTGAAGAATGATGAATCCAACCAATGTTAACATGAAGTATCCGAAGTTGATTAAAACGTCCATCAAGTAAATAAAGACAATCGCTGAAGTGCAATACATTGACATGTAGTTCTAAGAGAGTTGAAGACATAAAAATTCGAGATGACATATCAAATGATATGCGTTGAGGACAAATTGAAGATGAACCAAAGCTTAAATACTGTAGATTGGTGAACACAGTAAAGACATGTGTAAATATAAGTATATTCTTATATTTTGTAAAAGTTTGATTCTTATTTTTCTTCATACGGATAATAAGTGATAAAATTTTATTTTTAAATAAATCAATGACAACATTTCCATCTAAACATAAATATAAAAGTCTTTAGAAACAAATTAATCATCTATATACATTATTTTTGAAAAAATCTTATTTCCTATATAAATATTTATATTAATTTTTAAGTAACTTTCTTTTGACTAAGATTTTATGCTTATTCATAAATTATATTTGAAGTTAAATTTTGAAATAAAATTAATTGATTACCAATAGAATATTCAATGATCTACTCAATTCTATTAAATTTATAATGAAATGAACACTACGAATTTTTTGTACTCTTCTCATTTGTTCAAGAATCAATGACAATTAAAATGAAAGTATCTTACTAGTAAACAGATCTTTCGCTGTTTCTATTTCAAGATTATATAAACCGAGTCCATATAAATTAGGATAATTTGCAGAAAGAAGAATACGTTCCATAGATGATGATTCAACATTGAGCCATTGAATTTTATGATGAATTGTAGGCAAAATTTGTAAATAAAATCGATCAAGTATTGTATCAGATAATGGAGAGATAGAATCATTGGAGGAACATCTCATCAATGTTAAATGACTTGTAAAAATTGAATCATATACAAACGTATTGAGCCGTTTATTAACACCCATTAAAGAATAGAGTACTTGATCATTGTCCAATTTTTTCAAAATAATCAAAAGAATTTCATCAGGTAAATGATCTAATTGAACCAATGAATGTTTCATAATTATTTTCATCTTCGTATATTCATTTACAACTTTGAAATGTGATCACTTATGTACAGATATTCATATCATCGGTATGATCTTAGTCGTCAATGAAAGCAATGATCTATTTGTCTATAATCTAACTTGACGATGAGTGAGCGAATGAATGAAAAAAAAAGACAATATCTTTATTTGTCTTTTCTTCGGCACATTGCATATGATAGACATTGACTAGAGTAAGTGGGGGTAAATGTATAAAAAAAATCAGATGGTTCAGTATATTAGCTATAACTTTTTCATTATTTCGAAAAATTTTCTGCAGAAGTCATCTAGCTAACTCTTTTCTCTATCGATTGGTAAAATCCATTTTTCAAAATATTGTCAGCTAAGCTATCTACGAAGTGTTCTCTGGCTGCGACTTTTCGACTATACAGTTACCCCGGCGGGGGTGAATGTATAATCACGTTGACGTCAGTGGGGCAAATATATAATTCCAGCTATTTTTTTGCTGGTGTCAGTAAAATTAAATTTTTGAGCGATTGGTACCTTATTTTTTTCTGATTTTTTTCACCAATCGATAGTTCAAATTCTTCTCTATCGATCTAGACTAATCTTAAAATTATGAATTCTGAGTAAAATGATAGTGAATTTGCTAAAGTTGGATTAGTTTTTCGCTAATCAAAGCTTAAAATTATAGCGGAGTTGGTTTATTACTATTTGATATTTTCAGTATTTGTATTATCGTAGTAAGTTTTGAAGTGGTATGATTATGATATTCGGAGTCAGCGCTAAATTCTGAGTAAAATGATGGTAAATTTACTAAAATTCAGTAAAGTTGAAAATTTTTTTTTTCACTCGACTCTGAATTCCCCCACAGGTGCCAAACAAATCGATAAAAAATAAAGGTCGTTTTTCTATGGAAACAAACACATCATTTTACTCAGAATTTAATGCTGACTCCGAATATGTAATTATTTTTGAAAAATATTCTTGATGAAAAAATGGCTTTTCCGTTGTTTTACCATTTTTTTGAGTACTATCCCTATTACATTGATGAACTAGTAGAGAAATGAGTGAAGAAATGATTTGTTACTGTGTAGTTTTTTATGAGGAACATTCCTGTAAAAAAATATTGAAATCTTTTTTTTATCTTAAAAAAATTTAATTTTATTGATACTAGCAAAAATAGCTGGGTTTATACATTTACCCCACAAGCGTAATGACGATTATACAATTACCCCACATGGGATAATTGGATAAAAATTTTTCGTTTAGTGCTCTTTTTGTGAGCTCTATAAAACACTTGGATTTAGGACTTAAAATTTTAAGATTAGTCTAGATCGATAGAGAAGAATTTGAACTATCGATTGGTGAAAAGATCAGAAAAAAAATAAGGTACCAATCTCTCAAAAATTTAATTTTTTTGACACCAGCAAAAAATAGCTGGAATTATACATTTACCCCACTGACGTCAACGTGATTATACATTCATCCTAATTAATTTTCCAGTTTCGTCGAAAAATTTATTAGAGCTTTTCTTCTAGCGTTCCTATTTGGTCGAAAAATTAAATTGGAATAAGAAGTAGGATCAAAGCAAATATCTTAGTTGCTTTGAGTGTCTTAAGCAAACTTATTTCTTTAAAGAAACTCATTAAAAAATGCCAATGCTGGTAATCTGTTCTCTCATCAAAGTGTATATACATACAGTGGAAAATAGAAATCCGTTGCTGATGTTATAAGTATTTAACTTTAGCCTAAAATAATATCTTCGATTTATCTTGCACTATATTTCATGTTATCCTTTGTTTAAAATCATCGTAAAAAAACCTATTTATAGAGTGAGGGTGTGAGGGGTGAAGTGGGATAAGGATGAAGATAATTGTGAGACGATTATACGATTTGAAAATTCCTTATAAACAATAAACATCAACACTAAATATCAACACTGGAAGAACATCGTAAAAAAGTGATAGAATTAGGTTGTATCAAAATCGGTTGATTGTTTTTCTCTGCTAATGTTTGCTTGTCGTATATTTATTTGTGAATGTATATTTAATACTGTTGTCTAATAAATTTTTCGACAAATTCATTTAGAATAATTAGGCACTGTCTTTGTGTCGCATGTCTAAGAAAAGTTAATTAATCAGAATAACCTGCTTTCTCCTTTTTTTCATTCTAATTTTTTTCTTTCGGCGAAACAGTAACAGCCGCAATTTTATTTTCGACGAAACAAGAACACTAAGAAAAAAATCTTTCGACGAAACAGGAAAACCAATTAAGCTTTTGACGATACGACAACTAACCCGAAAATGATAAGATTTGTGTAAAAAACTATTGTTAATTATTTCTTCGAAAGTTCATTGCATTCAATATAGACATATTGACAGATATAGCTACTTGATTAGTATCCATAATGCATAATCAAGTTTATTTAACAATAATTACTAGCTTAAGTATGATTATAACATTATAACATTTGATCTTCATTGCATTATGGAACATATACCCGTGAGACATTCTTGTTTACAACTGTATTGGATTAATTTTTTCCGTGATTTTGGTCTAAATATACGTTGTTTCTATAATCAAGGAATAAGTATGCATCATTTTATGATCATTTCATCATTTATATGTTTTCATTTATTTAGAGGATATAACATGTTTTCACTTTTTCACTGAACATGATGGATTTTATTACGTCATACATGGTTTGATTATTCCGATAATATCGATGTTAATGTACTTTTTTCCAAAAATAACTATTCATATCTGTAACATATTCTTGACTTTACTTGTTGTTGAATTTCTAGCACAATATTTCACGTTTCTTAATTTCTGGTATAAAATAGATATATTAACTATTTATTGGTTAGTTTGGCAGTTAACTTCTCTCGTTTTAAAATGGATATGTTTACATCTTTTACCACGAATTCTAATAATAGAACAAGGATCGTTTTATGTAATCATGGCATTGATGTGGCATTTTATATTTGTTCGTTATATACCTCTTACATTAAACTTAATATGGTTTTGGATTTTCTCAATAATAGACATGTAAGTTAATTATGCGGTGAACATATGAAAAAATGTATTGTTTGTTGATATAATTGACTTTATGAATTGTTTTCATTCAAAAGATTCTCATATGTAAACTAATTTTAAAAAACGATGGACTTTGAATAAAAATGTTATTATTAATCAATATCTTACTTCTTACAATATGTGAACAATTATTTGATCATTTGTGATTATTGATTTTCAAAAAATATGTATCAAAGAGAGCAACTTGATTGTGTGGATCATAAACTTTTACAATACTTCCATCTACTGTGGATATTTGAGAGGAATTTTTGGTTTGACTTAGTGCTGAGTTGAATGCGACTAAATATAAGGAAGGAATACCCGAGAGATAATCCAACTCTCAAATATCTTTATATATATATTGATTATTAAAAGTTTTGAGAATGATCATCAATTATCTTCCCTGAGAAACAACTCAAAATTTGTCTTTTACTAAAGATTTTAAATTTATACTACGAACAATATTAAACAATTCAGATATCAATTAGAGTTGTCAAAATTTATTTTAATAAATTTTTTTTCTTTGCTTCATCATTTAGTTGGACATGTTTACATCATGGAGGCTACTTTTATCATCCAACTTTGACGAATCAAGCGATTGTTCCAAGAAAAAAGTGTCTTTCTAGTGTCTATTATATTCATGGCATTGATAAATGGAAAACAAGTAAATCACTAGGTCTTGGAGACCTTTTTACTTACAATATTTTGATTTTATTCGTACTTCCACCATCTTCATCGATGATAATAAAAATATGCGTGACATTGAGATCCATAGTTGCTATTCAAGTCGGTTGTTTGCTTACAGATTGGTTATGTCTCCTAACGAAAACATTATTAGTTCCCGGTGTGCCGTTACCAATGATTATTGTCTCAATGTATATTTTCATTCTCAATATTATCATTCCAACAAATCTCAATCAATATATAGAACTCTAATTAATTACTGATTATTGCAAACCCAATGAACTCTTCTCTGCAATCAAATAAAAAAATTCATTTCGTTCATTTGATTGATACGAAATATTCTAGGAGATGTGTATCCTTTGCTTAGTCTTATCTATCTTTTTTATAAATCGTTTTGATTGAAAAGATGTCCTTAATAAATAGCCATTCATGTTGTTGCTTTCGTCAAAAGACGCATTTAGTTTCTAGGTGAACTTCTTAATAGGTTACATCCCATCTGCGAAATCGTTTTTCGATGCAGTTTTGGGGATTTACGTGGAAGTTTTCACAAATATTGGTCACATCAAAGTTAAGTTACGAAATTTTCGTTACCTCTCAACAGTGGCGCAGCCAGAAATTTTTTTCGGAGGGGGACCATCATAGAGAAAAAGTGATTTTTTGCTTCTGAAAACGAATATGTCTATACCCCCCTCCAGCAATTTAAATCTTCCAGAGGGGGGGGTCCCCCTAATTCTCTCTCTGGCTTCGTCACTGCCTCTCAAAATCCCACTGTTGAAAAGTTTTCCAGAGATTAGAGTCAATAGCGAACCTTTTATGCATACAAATTTTTTTCCAATATATTTCCAACTATGTATCTCATAATATATTCATTTGAAGTAGAACTTGGTGTCATCTCAAATGAGTGAAAGAACTTTTTCAGCTTTATTTTTCCTTTGTCTTACGATTTACTGAGGTTGGTTTCCGTTTCTCATTATTATTAGTATTATTGCATTGATCTAATCGTCTTTTTCAAATTGCCAAAACAATGTCTATACATATATATTTATTTTGTCGCATTTAATATTAATCTTCCTATTGTTTTCGAATTATTTTAAATAAATAATACGCGATATATGCTTATGAGTTATTTTTGTAATAGCTTATCTTGTTCAAGAAAGCGTCTATAGTTGAGAGTAATATTTTGATGAGCTATCATTACAAAATAAATTTGTACATTTGATTTGTAAAACTTATTCACATATTTGTATTACTGAACTGAGTTGTGGATCAGGCACGTACCCAGAAATTTTCTGAGGGGTGTGGGTGCGGGTGTGGGTGTGGGTGGGTGTGGGTTTGGGTGTGGGTGTGAGTGTAGGAGAGTATAGGTTGCGGGTGGGTGCGGGCGTGAATCTTCTCTACTAACACCCACACCCACACCCACACCCACACACACCCGCACCCACACACACACCCAGACCCCACACCCACACCCACACCCAGACCCCACACCCACACCCACACACACCCGCACCCACACACACACCCAGACCCCACACCCACACACACCCGCACCCATACACACACCCAGACCCCACACCCACACCCACACACACCCGCACCCACACACACACCCACACCCAACTCCTGCTCCCGAAGAGGGAGTACGACGTTCCGCTCGCATCGCCGAAAAAACAGAAAACAGAAAAAACGGTTCTTGTAACTCAGTAGCAATCTGCAATAGTAGTATTGATAAGAATAGAGACAACACAGTGTCGGCTGATAACAATTCGGCGGTTAACAGACATGCCAGAGAGACAGGTCATAGCATAGATTGGAAGAACTGGATCATACTATCGAAAGATAGGCATCCATACAGACTGTGTGTAAGGGAATCACTAGCTATAGCTGAGTTTCAACCATCACTCAACGTGACAGTAAGATCAGTCCCGCTTTTGGTCTATCCTGAAGGGTGTCCTAGAAGACGCATTGGCATTGGATAAGAATTGAAACAAAACAAAAGAACACAATAGTTGCTGCTGCTTAACCTCTTGCTTTCATACCATATCTATCTTAATGAATCTTATAACTTCACGCATTCTTTCACGGATCTCTTAAATCCTTCTCGTATTTATACACTCCTTCTAAATAGATTTGCATTCTACCATCGTCTGTTGATATCTACTCATTACCTCAATTGTATCTGTATTTAATATTAAACATACTAACTAGTGTATTTTATTGTGGATTATATCTCTTGTTCTCATTGTAAATTATATATCTTGTGAATGATAATAAATTTATCGAAACGTCGGTGCAAAAATTAAAAAGTAATCTTTTTATTGCTGTTGTTAAAACAATACAATTTTGTTTCAAATTGTTGCCCATCAAATCAAATAATTATTGTCAATGAAGCTTTCAATTTGTATTATCGAGCACTGACACTTTTCAAGAAATATTCATTCAATTATTCGAATACGACTACTTGCCTAAACAACATAGCTCAAACTTTTAAACATCAAAGAAAGTATGATATAGCTGTCCACTTTTATCAACAAGCGTTGATCATATTTGAAGAACATTATCGCAATAATCATAGTGAAATTTCTGTTTGTCTATCCTGTATCATTGCTAACTTCGATAGAAGGTCACAGCTCGATCGTGCTATTGAATATTTGCAACGATGGTTATCAATTGAAGAAGCCAGTTCACCTACAAAATATATCTCCATTGCTAATATACTTAGGTGGTTATCGGAGGTACAAAGAAGGAGAGGCCAGCATGAACTCTCCCTTATATACGAACAGAATTGTTTCTTGATGCGTCTCAAAGTGCTACCACCGGATGATGCGAACATTGGCAATAGTTCATCGACTATAGGTGAAATTTACGAAAATCTTCATAAACCTTTGTTGACACTTAATTATTATCAGCAAGCATTAGCTATCTAAAGAAAATGTTTGAGTTCCTGGTATTATAAACTGCAGAGTATGAAATGGAATATTGAACGACTTTCGAAAGAACTTGGAATAGAACTCGATTAATCAGATTGAATTTTCAAACGCCATTCTTTTCTATTAAACATTATTATTATGAGAGTAATATCTTGATAAAAATATCTCTATAGGCATATATGAAACTATCACATATGCTTGTTTTCTAACGAAAGATAAGGTCATTTAGAATGCATGGTTCATTCAAAAATAATCTAGTAATAAAATCAAGTGCATATTTAGCTAGATCAGAAAGATTACTTCGTGCGGTACCTTTTCTTATAAATCTCTTAGAAGTAATCACAATTCTTACGAGAATCACAAATCATTGTTTCAAGGATGCACACATTATAATTAAAATATGTCTTTTATGACAAATATACAAAGTAATCTTTCTGATCTAGCTAAATATGCACTTGATTTTATTACTAGATTATTTTTGAATGAACCATGCACTCTAAANATTTAAGTAGATTGTATGATATTTCATATGAAATAAAGTTTGAAATTGATTATACGTGATAATGGTAGCCGGGTGTGTTATACTTATAAACGGCTGCCGGTCGGGTACCGGGTGGAGTTATTCGGGTCCGGTTTGGGTTCGGGTACGGAGTTGTCGGGTCGGTTCGGACTCGGGTACGGAAAAAAAGCTCCGGTTCGGTTTCGGGTGGAAAAAAGTGCACCTGTGCAGCACTCTACTCTATAGTCATTTATATCTATTAGGTTTTCTCAAAGATGAATATGTAATATTTCTGTATATATATATATATAGCACAAAAAAAATAGAGTCGTTTATTCATTAGATGATTGCTAAACTCCAAATCTTAAATTTTCTCACTAAGACATTTCAAACAAACCTAATATTTGTCTTCGAACGGCGATTCATAGTTCTCAATCATTTTTATTAAAGTAAAATGGCTTCTCTATAAAATATTTTCCCACTATTAAACAACAGCCGAATCAGGTCGGTTACGACTCTGAGCCAAAGACTATGACGAATTGTATATCAATAACGTCTCATTATCATGTATGACCTTCTTCCTTATTGCATTTCTGGAGAAGAAATATGTCCTAAAATAAATTGAATAAAACAATGTTTCTGTAATTACCAATAATATATTCACATTTTCATCTTATTAGGATTGTGTTGACAGTTTTTTTCTCAAATATGTTTTCTTTTATTAGTCTTAATATAACTTATGACAAGTACTATCAAACACCACGTCTTTGGTTAACTGGTTATGATGAACATCATAAACCTTTATCAGTTGAAAAAATGTATGAAGATATAAGCCAAGATCATGCAAAAAAGACTGTAACAATGGAACAACATCCGCACTTACCTGGAACAGGACCTATGCCTAGTATACATCCATGTCGTCATGCTGATGTGATGAAAAAACTTATTCAAATGGTAGCAGAATCTGGCAAAGAACTTGAAGTTCATATGTATATTATGATTTTTCTTAAATTTGTGCAAGCAGTCATTCCAACAATTGATTATGATTATACACGTCAGTTTAATATATAAACAAGTCAACTTATGAAACAGTAAAAGAATCAATTATCTAGTTCGATTTGTGTTCTACTGTTCGATTTGGCGATGATTTTTTTAAAAAATTTTCTTGATTTTTTTTGTTCATACACAAGACAAAAACGCGTTCATGAATTTTTTTTTTTTCTTTCTCTTTCTTATTCTATTTTATTCAATAAAGTCCTGTATAGTCAAAGTACTTCGACATGTATCCTCTTGCGTTATGTAAAGATGAAAAATAAAAGAACACAAGAAAAAAAAAACTCTACGACGATTATTGTCGACCTACTGTCCGTTATGAATAGACGAAAAAAAAAAAAGATCGAAGATATGGTAACAGAACATAACGTTCATTTACTTTAGTTTTTTCATTCGGACAAGTTTGTACTTTCATTTATTGTTTAACCGACATGCTCATCGTATTGCTTGCTCTTTGTATACAATTGTCGATACAAACTGAAGTTGAATATAAGCATTTAGGTAGATTAAAAACCTGGACTAAAATATTTCTATGTGATACACTTTATATTTGATTAAATAGGTCGACCATGTCATATTAATCATTGTGATAATGAACATGTTTGTATACGTCGAAAAGATGTTGCTTTTCGATATCGTTGTATACCAAAAAGTTATTTTAAACAACAGTAAGATTAGAAATTGAAGTAGTTTGAAATTTATTTAGAACAAAAAAGAAGATCAAACATTTTATAACAATCCAATGAAATACTCTTTAACATAAAACATTGTAGGTGACTTAATTCTACAAAATTGCCAAAAATGTTTTCTAACGATACACCTTAAAAACAAAGAAACGTAAAAGTGAATTTTATATAAAATTAAAGTCCATTAGGAAAAATGATTTAGAAGTGGAATTGGATATTTCTATGAGTATGTAGACTATAAAAAACCAACGATTCTCAAAAAAATCTTTTCGCTTATCAGACTTTGTAGTGGTAATTATTTTAGTAAAAAAGAAATCAATTCGATATATAAATGGCGTTATCAGGGTCAGAATACTGAAAAATCTTACATAGATCTTTCGCTAGAGCTACAAAGTTTTTCAGTATTATTTTGATTCTAATACCACCATTTATTTATTAAATTAAAATTTTATTTTCACTACAATGATCAGTATAGATAGCTGCACAGAGTCTGATAGAAAAAAAAATTTCCTGAGAATCATTAGCTTTCTATATCTGACTACATATTGTACACTAGCATGATCTATTAGTTTGTCACATCATCAAAACTGTATTAAAAGACAATTTTTTTTTAAATTAAAAACTAATAAAAAAAACAAACTATTACAATATTAATTAGATAATGAGATCGTGTTTTTTATGATGAATCTTGCGTTGATTTACACTGGATGAAGTAGAAATTTATTTGAACTATAAAATCAATATTATTGAAATTATATTTTATTAAGATAAGTCTCATTTATGAAATCAATTCTAATAGAATTATTTATACTGTTGTAAATAGAAAAAAAAACTCAAATCTATCTAATTTATCATAATCAATCAGATAATCTTCATATGTTTTCTAGTCCAGATAAAATTACTGAATGGAATTTAAATCCATCATTAATCGATGAATTAGTTGATGCTACAAAATGTCAATCATGTTTAAGTGAACCATTGAATTATGTTTGGTACATAGAGAATAGTCTATTTTGATTATATATATATATTTAATTTTGTCATCTATTTGTTTAGTGGAACTGATGGACGTGTCTATCGATCACCTTGTTTTGTTAAATATTTTAATTGTCTATTAGATACAGATATACAAATTGCATGTAATAAAGAATGTCCATGCAATGATACAAGTAGAAAGCAAATATTTTTAATAAAAGATTTTAAAAATATTCATGTTATAGGTTTAGATGAAGAAAATTCTGAAGCGATGGTATGTATGATCAGTTCTTTTTTTTTTTCGTTTTATTTAAATCAATGATAAATTATATATTATATAGGATTTCAATGTTATGGAAAATGTCATTAGGTAGATGATATTTTATGAATAATATCGAATATATTTTTGACTATTGTTTTTTAGTGATCCATTAGCTGATGATAGTTCGGATGATCCAAGAGGACGTAAGAATAACGGATTTGCTGTTTTTTTTGTACCACTTTTAAAACTATTAAGATTAGAAAAAAAATTCAATTTATATAATATATTCGTTGAATCTTTTCTTTTCACATTTTTTTTGGCACACCGACAGTTGAGCCCTCGACCGTTGAGCCCCAACAAATGAGCCCTCGACAGATGAGCCCCATAGAAGAAACAAGATAAAGAAATAGAAAAATTTATTTTGTATTAATATCAAGGGTGTGGGTGTGGGTGTGGGGTGTGGGTGTGGGTGTGGGGTGTGGGTGTGGGGTGTGGGTGTGGGGTGTGGGTGTGGGGTGTGGGTGTAGGTGGGTTTGGGATTGGGTTCAAGAAAATAGTAGATTCACAGCAACACCCACACCCCAAATGAATACAAGAAATGTTAGAAGAAAGTTCGAACAATTTTTTCGTCCTATTACTTCTAATTGCTCTACTAGAGAAGATAGATATAAACGAACTTCTGGAACCATAAGATGTCGCATGTTTCCACATTTTTTTTAAGATTGGATCACTAATTTATCTAATATTGATTTTTATATTTCTCTCATCTGTTTCTCCTACGAGGCTCATTTGTCGGGAGCTCAACTGTCGGTGGGATCAACTGTCGGTGGGGTCAGTT